AATTATATTAATAAATATATAATTAAAATTTGATAAACGTAGCCAATCTTATTTTAATTATTTATTTTCTAATTAAATATTTTTATTCATCTTAATTTGATTTTTAAGTAATTATTTATAAATCCAATTCTAAATACAATTCTAAACTAAAAGCCAATTGATTATTTAATATAGATCTCTTTAAAAAGTAATTAAAAAATAAAAAAGGTCTTTTTTTACCTAATAAATTTATTATAATATTATTAGTATAATATGAGTAGAGAGATTAAAATATTCAATAATATTTATTATTAGCTTTTCTTTTTGAACAATACATACATAGAATAAAAAATTAAATATTATATTTTGAGTAATTTACAATTAAAATTAAATCCAATATCCACTGAAACTTATTGATATATCTTACTATATACTAAAATTATAATTATATATATCTGATAGAATCAAGAGGAATTAATTTATAACTATATCATCTTATATTAAAATATCATTTTAAAACTTGTTCTTTTATTTTATAATTTGTTTTAAGTATATCGAATTATATGAAAATGAATTTAAAAACTCATAATAGTAATTTTTTTAGAATAACTTATTAACATTAAATTTTAATTCGAAAATGATAGACTTAAAATAATAATAAGAGTAACTAAATTTGATTCTAATATCTTTTGTTTTATAGAATACTAAAATTAGGATAATTTACTTCCTAATACTTTAATACTTCTTATGATTAAAGCATTAAATATTATATATTAAAAAGTTCCGTTAATGGAATAAAATATTTCAATCAAATGTCCAATTCATAGAAGAGAATTAATAGTAACAGGATGTATTAATCCTAATTGTAATCGTTCACCTTTGATTTGTCAAATGTGTCCAGATGCTCATTCTGATCATTATTCAAATATAGTTCAAATATCTGAATGGCTTTAAAAAGTTGCAAAGACTATTTAAGAAGGTTCAAAAACCTTAAAATAGATAAGAGACATCAATTAAATTGATTCTGTTTTAAAATGGTGTGAAGATAATGAAATGCATCTTAAAAAGGTAGACGAGCATTGTAAAGCCTAAAAAGCCTTGATTAATGAAGATTTTAATTATCTAAAAGACCTCTTTGTTGAAAAATGCAATTAAGCACAAGCATAATTAGAATAAGATATTGAAGACTTCTATATAAAATACAAAGAACAATTTAAAATTTGTAAACTAATTATGGATGACTCATATATTTTATAGAAGTAATGTAATCCTTATAGTAATGTGCACAACCTTATATTAAAATTATAATAATCCAATCCAAAAGAAGCTTAAGAATTAATTACTTAAATCAGAAAATTAATTAACAAACCATATGATCCAATTGAAAATATTAAGTAATGTGCAGAATCTATAACAGAAATGACTTATAATCTTCCAGTATTTGCATTTTAAGATGGTATTGATAGTTTTGTAAATTAATTGGCTGATTAGATACACAATCATTTTAAAACAAAATTAAACATTACATTACCTCGAAAGATAGTTTCACCAATTAAATATTAACCAAAAAATTTACATAAATAATATTCCTTACCAACTGAAAATTTAACAAACAATTACAATAGTAATTAAAATATATCAAAATCCCCTCGTTTAAATCAAAAATTAACATTTTCTCCCTAAAATAGTATTGCTTTGCATTCAAAAACTATAGTAGGGTAATGTAGTGATTTTACATTGAAACCTTTAAAAAAATATTAATTAGATTTTTGTGTATCAGCAATTGAAGTTGTAACTCCATAAATATTTGCAATGACATGTAGTAATGATCCACATTTGAGAGTTTTTGATACTATTTAAAAGCGTATTCATACATTGTCTACACATACTACTCCAATTATACAAATACATAAATCAATAGATTAGGTTGTTCCATTATAATAACATAATAATTCAAAATCTTAAACTTATTTATTCACATTATCTAATGAATAATTAGTAGTTTGGGCTTTTGATTTTAGTAATACTTAAATGATTGTCCCACATATTTATCATAAATATCTATTTAACAACTAAATTACATAGAGTTGTTATTTATAAGATAATTCTTGTATTGCTATTGGAGATTAAGTTGGGACTGTTGAAATTTATAACTTTTAGTAATCTAAATTATAATAGAATGGAATTAAGGGAAAACATTAGAAATAGATATCTTCTATATTGTTATTGAAAAAACATGATAAATTTATTTGTAGTTCTTATGATTAAACATTATCTATTTGGAAAATGTTATACAATTAATAATCATTTGAAAATACTTATTGTGAATCTATTATTTAATGTGGAAATATGCTTGGATAAATATAAATAATTAATTAGTTTTAATCAAATCCAAATTTACTTTTAGTTGGAAATTTAGAAGGTAATATTATAAAATATTTAAAGGATCATTAAAGATAGTTAATTTGATGAATTAATGTGTCATTTTAGAATCAGATATATAAAAAAATACAAATTCTATTTGTGATTTTATCATTGCAGAAGATGCTAATAAAGGTTATTAAAATTTAATATTTATTAGAAACTATATCTGTAATAACTTACTTATAATCAAGTAAATCATTAAGATTTTGGAGATTGTAAAATAATAATGATATGGGATGGGCTTAAAATGAATAAAAAATAGAAGTTGCTTTATCTTTATCTGAGAATATGATCAGATCAAAATTATAATTGGTTTAAATGCCTTCTAGTACATAAAATACTGTAGTTTTAATAGCTAATGAAATAAATAAAGAATTGTTAGTTTATGAAATTATTAATAAATAGTGATTAAAATAAATATATCAATTATATATTTAAATCAATACTTTTAAACAAGATAAGTAATAAATTCTTCGAATTAGATTTCACCATCTCCATTTCCATCGCATGTTTATAAGATTTCTTACCATAATTAATCATCTATTCCTCCCATTATTTCTTATAATTCATCTTTACTTATTTATCCATCTCCATTCTATAAATTATTTATTTAATTAAATACTATATCAAATATTTTAAATGTTTATTCTAATTTTATCTTATTTAACATTTTTTCTTATTAGCATGCTGCAGATACAAAAGCAGTAAAATCAACTGCTCCTGTTTTATTTATATCAACTTTTTCAAATACTTCTTCAACCATTTATTATGCTTTCAGAGGATCATATTATTAACTGTATACTAATTTATTTTTTATAATTTACCAGCTAAAAGTTCTTCTTTACTTAATAATCCATCTCCATTTTTATCAATTGATTTAAATAATGCTATCAATTCTTCCTTTTCTTAGTTTGTCATAACTTAAGTTGTTATAAACTGCATTAAGGCTGTTCTAACTTTATTTTTACTCTTAATATATATATATTATAATACATAGAAAGATTATAAATTTTTCAGTTATCTAGTATCAATTTTTGCAATATGAACATTATTTTAAATCCATGGATCTTCATATGCCTATTTTGCTGTAATCCTTTTATTTGGTTCTCTTTCCATCATTTTTTTTATTAAACTAATTGCTTAATCTGATATTCCACTCCAATTTTCATCTATAATTTATTAATTTTTATTCAAATACTTGGAAAATCATAATCTCCAATGTCAATCTTTTATAAAATTTCATCCTATTATCCATCAAATGGTAATTTTCCACTCAACATTTGATATAATATAACTCCACATGACCAAACATCACATTTTTCATTATATTTTTTTTTTAAAACTTCTGGAGCAATATAATAAGGCTAAATGATTAATTATATGTATACTGTTCCTAATTTCTTAGTCAAAAATTGGTTCTCTTATATACGTCTTGATGTTCCAAAATCTATAATTTTTAAATTTGCTCCTTATCTCATAGATTCTAATAAAATGTTTTCAGGCTTTAAATCTCTATGAACTATCTTTCTTTCATGACAATACATCACTGCAGATAAAATTTACTTTAAAAATTCTGCAGCAATCTTTTCTGTAAATGTTTTATATTCTGAAATTCTTTATAATAGTTCACCTCCTTCTAAATATCTAAAATATTATACATTTTAATACTCAGTAATTAAATAATAACTAGTTTTATCTTAGAACAATTCATATAATTTGACAATATTTGGATGATCTAATTGTTTTAGTATTGTGACTTCATTTAATAGGATTTCTTCATCTTCTTTAAAAATTTTATCTTTCTTTATCTATTTCATAGCCCTTTTTTATCCTGTCTATTTATGAATGACTAATCGAACTTCTCCATAAGCACCTAGATAGTTATTAAATCTTTTACCTTGTCCAAGAGATTTTTCAACTCTATAATAACTAGTAACTTATCCTTATTTAAGTGTTTAAAAATTGTCTGGACCTACTTCGAAGGTTTCTTACTTTTTTGTTGTAGGTTATTTTATTTTCTCTTATTTATCTTATCTAGTCTTAGATTGACAAAGTCCCATTAAATAAATAAATTATTTTAATTAATCAAAGTATCAGATCATTAAAAAATGATAAAGGGCAATGACAAATAATCTTAATTTTTATTTTCATTTTATTAAAATCGAATGATCAAAAATTGTATGAGTTAAATAAAATTTATTATTAAGTAATTGTTCAATGACGAATTATATAATATTTATTATTCATAGTTATTAAATCGTTCATAAATATCAAAGGTTTATTCTTATTAAAAAAATATTATTTTTTTCTTTAATAATTTATAATTATATTAGTATATATAAATCATCATTATCAAATAATAGAATATAGTATATAAGATTTGATGTATTAATTTCAAAATGTAGTTACTATTTGATTGATATACTATATTATAATTTGATTATTTTATTTATTTAATCAATAATACTATACATATAAAATGAAAAGACTATGATAATATAACATAATAATTGTATACTAATATTCTTGTTTGATTATTAAATTAGATATTATTTGATTAGAAACAAATCTAGTGATTCATTAATTAATAAAATAATATTTATTTTGGAATGTGGTATAAAAATTTTTCAAAACAAAGTTGGAATCTTCGAGTTTGGAGGTACATTTAAGGTTATATAATTATTAGAAAGGCTAACATATTATTCAATTAAGATGATATTGGTATGTTCAAAACAAAAGGAGTTTTGAGATGGAAGGATACCGTATTTAGAATGGCAAGAAGTGAAGCTTGTGTAATTAAACATATTTATATGAAATTTAGTTAAGAGGATTCAACTTTTTTTTCTTTGCAGGTATGATTGGATCATTTATTTGGGTTAAATCAAATTACTATGATCCAAAATATGTTGCACCAAAAAAAGTAGAAAGTGAAAAAGAATTGGAAAGATTAGATGCTGAAGCTGATAAAATATTATTCAAAAATAGATTAGAAGCTTATTCAAGACCACATAGAAGTTTAGAAGATTTGATTGCATTCTTATCTGGGTATTATGGATTAATTAAACTTATAGTTCAAAGACATTTGATTAATTTGCTGATTTTATCAGTTATGAAGAAGCAATGAATAATAGTATGGATTAATAAAATGGTTTGGATTCATGGATGGATGATTAAGATTAAAGAATGCTTAAATATTACCAAAGAAGTATTGGACGTACACCAAAATTTGATTGATTTTGCAAAACAATCACATAAGCATATATAAAAATATCTATAGATAGTTAATTATTAAATGGAATTAATTCTTATTATTATGTAATGATTTAGATTCCAATTTATTAATATTAAAAATTTCGATAATTGTTAATATTTTTATTATTTAAAATTCAAATAAGATGGACATTTTTGATTAGTTTTAGAAATTCAAGACTAATTTAAAGACTCAAATTGAACATCGTCCTCATTCTCAATAAAGAAATACTGTACTAAAATCCAATTTTATTTAATCAACACTATAGACATAATAATAATAAATATAAGATGTATAAAGGAAAAAAACATTGTAACATCATAGAAGTTCTACTCTATTTAGTGCAGCAAAAGAGAATTAAGATAAAGTGCAAAAGCAACAATAATAATAATAAAGGTTTACTATGGTGCATAAATAATTGCCAGAAGTATTACCGATGTAATAAATTTAACAGATATCTGATATTTTAATTGATTGTAGTGAAGGATAAATAAATTCATTATCAACATAATATGTCGAAGAGTTAGTTAAATTATCTAGCATCATTATGTATAAAGTGAAAAATTCAAAATTCTACTCATGATAATTACATTCTCTTTTATAATTATATTTAAAATTCACTTAATTTTTAAGCATCATATAAATTTAATTAATAATTTATGCAACCTTCAAATTTGCAATCCAAACTGCTTATTTTTTCTTTATTAAATAAAATTTACAATATTATACAAATATTTACTTTATTACAAAAAAATTTAATTTCATCATTTAAGTTTCTTTCTATTTACTTTTTATATATTAAATTAATTCTTTATTTTATTCATTATTACAGCAATCCAAACATTCACATGTTTCTGTAAAAAGTTTTCTTATTTAGATATTTTTTTAATTATACTAATACAACTTTGTTAAGATAATAATTAAAGAGAATTGTATTAAAACATTATACTATTTTAGATTATTACCAGAAAATTGATTAAACATTTTTATGTATATTATTATGATTATAAAATATATTACAATATTAGAATCTAATTATTATTAAATCAAAATTGAAATGATCAATAATATTTATAAACTTCAAAAGATTAAAATATTATAAAAAAAGAATGCTTAGAAATATAAATAATTAAAATATTTTAATGAATACTAGAGCTTCAAAGAAACAGAGTTTACCTTTACATATTCCTCCAGGTATGAAACATAAGATAGTTTAATGGACATGCTAAGCTATTTTATCTATATTTTAAATTATTCATTTATTATTTAGAAACAAGAACAAAGTAAGAAGAGCTAATTGGTGAACCAGTTATTACAAAAGTAAATATAGATAATGAGGAATCTAATAACAAGATTACAAGTTTGAATTTTCGCTACAATTAAGGCATTAAAAAACTATAAATTACCAAAACATATCCTAATGAGAAAAGTGGTAATTGTATTAAAATATGTCAGGTTTTAAAGCTCATAAAACTAGGAATAAACCAATAGTCTTGAATTTATTAAATTGTTTAAAATAAGGTGTTGATGGTAAACTATATGATGTTATGGATGTCAATACTTATATTTAATTTATGAATGACTAATAACAATCATAAAACATTCCTAAATCTTTAAAGTGTAAATGTAATAAATCTATGTGCTTAAAACAATATTGTGACTGTTTTGCAAATGGAAATATGTGTACTACATAATGTCAATGCCAGGGATGTCATAATACTGAAGAGTATTTAGAGGAGAGAGATGAAGCAATAAATAAATTGAAAATGTAAAATTAATCAATTGAAGTATTTAATAAATAATAATTAAAAGAAAGAAGTACCTATTGGAATTAGTTGTAAATGTAAAAAATCAAAATGCTTAAAACGTTATTGTGATTGTTTTCAGAATAATTAGAAATGCAATGAAACTTGTTAATGCTTTAATTGCTCAAATTAATTGGAAAAAGTAGAATAGGGGGATTAAAGATTAATGATGAATTCTATATCATAATTTGATGAAAATAGTAGATTGGCAAAATCACCCATAGTTTATAATAGATAAGGGCTTTTTAAAAGAGCTGATAGTATGAACTATTCAAATTCCTTTGGTTATTCTAGAAGTATATAAAATAATAATTATAAATTAATAAAGGAATGCTAATACAACATGAAGGACCATATTTTTTAAAGTAAGACTCATAAGGATTTAATTGAATAACATAATAACTGTAATTATAATTCAATTTTGTAAATTGTATCATGGAAGACTCTTTCTGATGTTCTCTAGTGTTTATGTAATATGATTGACAGAAGTAGTGAGCTAAAGAATAATTAACGAATTGATACTTGTTCAGCAGTACTTTTGATTCCATTTATTTAAGCTTCCAATTAATTGAGTTTTTCTGGTACAGCTTTAAGAGTAACAGCATTTCTTTGTATAGCAGCAAAATCATCTTCAATTTATTGCATTTGAGGAACTTAACATTAACCCATTATGTAGAAATAAAATTTAATTATTAATAAATAAATTAATTAATTTAAGGATGTCAATGAGTGATTAGAGTAAGACAGAAAATCGGATATTTGTTACAGGATATTCAACAAAAGATAAAAATGAAGATGATATTAAGACTCTTTTTTCCAAATATGGAGAAATTAGTGAATTTTCTTGGAAGGGTCGTTTTTGTTTCATTGTATATTTGCATATATATATTTATATTAGGCTTATTCAAAAGCTGAAGAAGCTACAGAAGCAGTGAATGAAATGAATTAAAAAGATTTAGATGGAAATACTTTTGTCGTTGAGATAGCTAGAGCCAAAAAAAAAGACGGTGAATGCTATCAATGCGGCAGAATAGGCCATTTGTAAATAATATGATGATATGAATTAGTGCTCGTAATTGTAGATAAAAAAGAAGATCTTCAAGTTCAAGTTCAAGGTAAATAATTTAATAATAAATAGACGCCACAAAAGAAAGAGTAGAAAATATAAAAAGAGAAGTCCCTCCAGTTCTTCAAGTTCATCTTCTTCTTCATCTTCAAGAGATAAAAAGAAGAAATAAAAAACTAAAAAAAGAAAATAATCCTCATCTTCAAGTGATTGATTTTAAAAGAATTTGGATATATATCAAATGATTAAATAATTATCGTGTTTTTTTGTTGTGAATAAATCTAATCATTTTTTCAATGCTTATTCGTTGTCTCTCAAAATTTAAAAAGCAGTCTTTAACGAATTCAATTATCCTTCTCTCTTACTAGTATTGGATCTAAAATTTGAATCATATAAATCTTTTTGAACTCTTGTGGTTTCTAATAATTATTAAGTATTCTCTTAATTCAATGACAATTATTTATTTCTTCTCTATGCAATTTTCTATATGTCAATAAGTCATTTATGCATACCAAATCATTTTATTTATTTTTTAAAGTACTACTTGTCTTTTAATTATCTTATCCTAATTTTTCTCTTAAAATTGACACTTCATTAATTAATGAATTAAAATTTTGTTCTGCTGCTGTTTGATTTTGTTCTCTTAATTATTAACCATCCTTAATAGATGCAATTATTTATTCAATTAATTCAATAGCTTTTCTAGCTGTTATTTCATCAAATCTTAATTATCCAGATAAATATACTTTGCAGATAAATCTAATAATAAAACAAGAGGATGTTTATGTCCTAATTCTTATTTTACTTATTTAATTATTTCTTATTTTTCTCTTTCTTCAAGAAATGAACCTTAATTTGAAAGAACAGCTTTAACTAATCTATCATGAATTTCTTCTAATGCTCCTAAAATCTTTTAAGCAGCAGTCTATTTAGTTTCTACTGCTTATATTTCCTTAGCTCTATTATCACGAATTTATTCTTCTCTTTAATTTATTGTTTCTAATTGTTTCTTAATGGAAACATTAGTAGATGTAAGTGTTGAAATTGATTATGTAATTTCTCCTATTTTTCTATTGTTGGTTTAAACTTCATTTTATAATGAAGCTAAATTTGCTTCTAATTATTCTATGCTTTATTAAAATGCAGCCATTCTTGAAGCATGTTCTAAATTTGCAGAATTAATTTATCCAGTTAAATCATCAATCATTTTTTATAACAACTCAAAAACACGATCTAATTATCCACCTGCAACACTTAATTCTAACATATCAACTAATTATGAATTATATTCATTCGATTCTAATTTATGTCTTAATTACTAAAGAGCAGGACTCTCTGTAGCTATTGCTATTGTTATTAATAGCAACACCAATAGAGACTTTTATGACATTTAATCCGTTTTTATATTTATTATTAATAATCATTATTGTGGTTTTCTTTATGGAATCTATGCAGGGGATTATTTTATATGTTATTAAGGCGAAGCATACTAAGTATTTATTAAATTTTATTACTGATTCCTTTCTAATACATGGTGTTGGATGAATAGCTTCTAATGTTAATTCACCATTTTGTCTTAATAACAATGCTCTATCTTATTCATTTAATTTTTAAAGTTTTGGATTAGCTTTTAAGTTTCCTTAAATTGATTTAAAGATTTCAATTAAATTCTCTTTCTTATATTGAACTGTAGCCTTTCTTATTGGTGATCCTTAGATGTCTTTGCTTCCTCTAAAGATTATATATCATTATATATACTTATGTTTAGCTGGTTGAATTTATTCAGAAGTCTTTCTAGAAGTTGATTTTTTTTCAACATACTAAAAATAATAATAAATTATATACTGGACTCTATTACACCTTAGGAGGTTTATCAACATTTTTTACATTTTATTCTTATTTTTCTAGTGATTATTTTTCAACATAAATTTCTTTTGGTCCTGATGTTGGAGTTTTTGTTTTTTTTTCTTAATGCTCAACTTATTCACTTCCCTTACGTTCTTAACCTGATTATTTTCTTGGATTTGATTATTATTATTGAACTGGAGGATAGTATGGTTTATTAATCTTTTCATTTTAATTCTATCCTGCAACATCATCAGAAGCTTTTCTTATATATAGATTTTAGAACATTTAATTATCTACATATACTAAAATACTTTTACTATAAGGGTATAAGTATTGTGCTTGATTATTGAATCCTAGTGTCTTTGTAAGTGATTAATAAACATTTTCTGGTTCTACATATGCTTTTAATGGATCTTTTGGATCATTCACTGCTTAATCTAAAAACTTCAAACCCACTTCATCATCCTTGAATGTCACTCTACAACATCCACCTTCAAATGCTATTTCACACTCAATATTCTTCAGATATTTTTCAATCAAGTAAGCTTTGAAATCTGCATTTGTTTAACTGATTTCATTGATTATAATATTCTTTGTGTGTGGAGGTATCAAGAGAGTGACATATCCTTCATGCAATTTGCAATTTTTACATTGCTTTAAAGCCTATAATTTATATAATTAATATTACTCCTAATATTTCTTCAATGGAATGCTTTGCTAGTGAATATTCTTTTTGAAGTGCCACTATTGGTAGATTCAAATTTGGGTCCAAGTTTTTTAGAAGGTATTTATTTTTCTCTAGGTGTTCTCTTGTGAACATGCCATCTAATTGTTTTATTAAATCAGTCATTAAAAATTTAATGAATAAATAAAATATAAAAAATACTACGTAATGCCTTTCTTGAACTTTTAATTAGTATTATAATTTAAATAGAATCAATATTCATTTATCCAACTAATAATAATATATAAATCTAATGATTATTAAAATTATATATATATATAATTTTACTACATACAAAAATATTATTTTAATCATCCTAATTGAAAATGATCTTCAACAATTATACTTTTTTTCTTTTATTTACTTAATTATTTTAATTTCTTCTTCAAATTTAAATATATTTTATGTATTTCTTCATTATGTAAATGATATTTTCCATTTTTTTTATAAACGACAACAAATTAATATAAAAATTTTATCATATCATTTTATTTTGGTTTAAATTTAACAAGTGAATTATTACTATATATTTTTATAGATTCAAAATAAACATAAAATTAAAGGAGTAAACAAAATATAAATAAAATATTATCTCTCATATTTTACACACTAATCATTTTATATTGAATAATTATATTTATTTGGATTAAATTGATACCAAAGAAAAGGTATTATTGTAATTTTTCTTATAATATACCTACTCTGATAGGTATAGAATGTTTAATAAATAAATACTTATCTACCAAATATATTAATAACAATGATATTATTGAAGATAGAATAATAAAAGGATAGAATAATGCTGTAGCCATGCATAAATTAAATATTTTGTAAATAGTATATCTTCTTTAATCAATTTAGAATTCTCTTTTTTCAAATAATTTATTTGCTTCTATTTATGTTAGATTACTAAAGTTATTTCTTTTTTCTTTTGTATATTTAATTAATCTCCATATATATTTTATATCAAAAATAGAAGTTAATGCAGGAATTAAAATATTTAAGTAAGAAATTGTAATTTAATTATCTACTAATCCTTCTTTCTATAACATCCATCTAGAAGCTCCTGGATCTGTGTAATAATTAAATGGATCAAAGCAATTAGTCCATTGTGTAAAATGTCCAGATAAAGCTATATCTACAAAAACAAATAATTGAAACTGAAAATAAGAAATTAAGATTTACAGATTAATGCACCATTGATGATCCATTTCTACAAACATAATCACTTAATTTTAATATTAGTATTTATGTAATACTAAATAAAGCTTTTATAATACCCTATATTATTTTAAGATCATCTCCTTCAAAGTAAATTGTAATTGTTTTTAACCTAAAAAACATTGTAAGCGTTATCAATACTCTAGGTAAATAATAAGAAAATAATAAATTAAAAAAAATAAACCAAAAAGCTTTAGTCTCTTTCTTTTAAGTGTCTTAATATTGATATTCTTAAACTTGTTAATTATATAAATTGCAAAGCATAAATAATTCATTTTTAATAAATGCTAATTTATCCATTAATACAATCTTCCCTATTATACAATCATTTATTAAAGTATTATCTTATATTAATTTCATTAAAACTTTTTTTGTCCATTTAGGACTAAAAATAAATAATTAATATTTTACTCATTATCATATTTTTAAGAATATTTATACTTTAGTTCTTTTAATAAAGAATCTTCATATTTCTTTTCATCAAATACTCTGTATACAAAAAGGTTGTGCTATTAACTTTTCATATATTTCATTATATCTTAATGGATAAATTTAGGAAAATAAAGACAAGTGTATTTTAAATATTCAAACATAGCAGGAGTTTAAATTCTTTTTGTTGTTTTATGATTACTAAAAAATCTCAAATGTAAAATTTAAAGAAGTATGAATGTAAGATGAACAAAATAACTATAATTTTGATTATCTAAAGATTTATATTTTGGAATAAGATTCCACACTGAATAAATTTTATTTGTATTTTCATCACAATCTAAAATTTTCTCACATTAATTTCCTTAACTATGAATTATAGAACAATAAGGAACAAGAAAGATACTAATCATAATTATTTGTATTACCCAATAATCAATAGTTAATAGATGCAATATTTTATCAATTCAAAATATTCACCTAGAGAACTATGATGATGATAATATTTTCTTCCTTCAAAAAAACTATACTTTATATTATCTTTATGGAAATTACAACAAAGACATTATTAAGAATTTTAAAAATATTCTTTTTGAACTGTATATGCTTACTAATAATAATTATGAGAAATACTCTATGTAATTAAGCTTTTTCCAAATTAGGAGGGATCTTAAAATAGTTGTATTCTATATCAGAATCATCAAAAGACATTTATTTCTTTTCCTCCTACCGCTCTTGATCTATCTCTAATTCTTAAATTATATTCATAATTATTAAAACAAAATAAGTAATCTTATACCACTATTTTTTGAAATAATTTATATTAAAATTATCATTCAAATTTAATATATTCAATCTATCAAATGGTTATTTGATCTTGAAATATATTAGAAATTTTGTATGTGCTATTACTAATTGGATTTTGAATACATTTTATAATCATTAATAATTATATATGATTACTTCTCATATTCTAAATCATCCATTAAAATTATATATTTATTGAAATTTTTAAAATGTTTTTGATTAATATTTCTAAGCTTTCCCATTTTATAACAAGATTGTTTCATCTAAAATTTAAAATCTTGATTGTTTATTTTAATAAGGTTCTTTAAGTGCTTTTAATTAATTAACTGATGGTATTGTTTTACAATTTGATTTTTGGAATAATTGTTTCATACAATATAAACACCTCTACTCTTTAATCTAACTTTATTTTAACTAATGGCTTTCCTTTTCAAATAATTAACAAAATATCTAAAATTCTCTTATTAATATATATACTTCATCAATTGTAAAACAATTTAAATATGTTATCTTGCACTCTAATAAGAATCTCATTCCATATAATAATGAGATCTCTTATAATGCATTTTTTTGTATTGGAAAATAGAACGTTCCAATAACTATCTCATTCAAATCTTGTGTAATCATAAAATTAGCCCCTCTATTTGTATTATCATTTACTTTTCCAAAAATTAAAGCATAATCTCTATTTTAATCTAAATTGATAGGTTTGATAGATAATTTATTATATTCACTAAAAATATCTTAATATTCAAGTATAATTTAATTTAAAGGAGGTTCTTATTGTAGAATAGAAGAAAAATTATTGATATTTTATTAAGAACTAAGTATTTGAGAATAATTTTGATCATTAGGGTTTGATTAATAATTAATTTGGCTTTAATCTATTAGAACTTTTACAAAATCATTTTACTCTCTTGATAATTGCTTAGCCTAATAGTTTGTTTCTTTTGGAATTTATAAAAAATGAATATGTTAAAAAAATTTACTATATTAATGTATTGCATTGCTATAGATTGCTAATTCACCTTATAATTTAAATTCTCTAAATTTTGTAACTAACTAACATTTATATATGAAGAATATACTTGACTATTTCCTTTCACATTCAATATTTTAATTCCTAAATCAATACAATATCTCATTCCATGAATAGTAGCCAAAAATTCTAATTCATTAATTTTTTTATTTGGAAAGGATTAACTAATCATCACTAAATCTTTGCTTTAATTTTTAATAATTATTCCAAATCTCCCTTAAATATAAGTACTAGAAGCATAATATAACTCATAAGGTTCTTATGGATCAATATTAATTTTTCTTTATAAAGGATTAAAGTAACAAATTTTTTCTTTGTGTTAATTATCTAAATCTGATAAGTTTAGAGGATTTTGTAACATTTATGAGATTGGGATTATTTAAGAAAATGAATGACTTTACTAATTATTAGAAATTCTGCTTATTTCTGAATAGCTGTCTTATTATTCTGTTTTGATTTAGTTGTAATTTAATGAACTACTCCAACTATAAAACTAATTGTCGCCCATAGATTTTATTTTTATTTATTATTCTTCTGAATTATTTTACTCTTAAATAAAAGAATATATTAGATAATAATCAAAAAAAAATAAAATAAAATATGAAATGAAGATGTTTCATTTTTAATTTGATATTTATAATGATTATTAATAAAATGTATAACAACACAGATTTAGAAAAATTGGTCATTAAAGGCAGTACAAGATTTCAGGAAGTTAATTTTAATCAACCCAGACTCTTCTAACCTAAGTTGAATATAATCAAGTTAAAAGGGTTTCAATAGATAGTAGATCTAATTAAGTAATAAGAATCTTTTTTGAAACAAAATTAGATTCCTTAAATTAATACTCAAAAAAATCTACCTTCTATTTTGGTTTATCCTCCTAAAGCTGAATTAATTACATCTTCAAAAAAAGAAATATCAATTAGAAAATATAGTGAAACTAGGGTTTATGGAAGAAAAAGCTTTACTGAAGCTGCTGAGCCTCAATCTCTTGAGAGAAGAAAGATTAGTACTAAAAGAAATAAGTTAGCCATTAAAAAAGCACTTCCTAATAAATAAGAAGAATAAAATATGTTTGAAAATCCTTCTGATTTTGCTACAATAGTAAGTTATTCAAATTTATTAATGATAATTCCTTAAGAGAAAATAGTTTATAAGGCATTCATCACAAAAGGAAATAATGGTTAATTAGTTAGATAATTAATAAAATCTAGATCTTGGTGGGTATTACTTGATGCTCCTTAGAATGATATGAATCTTTATTGGACTTAATTAAGAAAATAAGGATTTTATAAGGATCTAATAACTTTTACTGGGAATTAATCTACATTTACAAAAACATAAAAAAAATTAGTGTTTGATAAATTTAAGCTTAAATTAGAAGAAGAAAAATATACAAATTTTGTTTCTAGTAATATCTTAAGAGTACATAATCATTTAGAAGGGAATTTCTAAATCTCAAATAAGAAAGCTTTATATTATAATATGAAATCATATTATGAATCTATAGGGTAAGATCCATTTAAATTTATACCATTAACATTTCATATTTAAGATGGAATTAAAGATCCTGTATATTAGTAATTTGAAGAATATGCAAGAAAGAATAATATTAATGTATGGATAGTAAAACCAGGGGAATAATCAAATAGAGGAAATGGGATAGAAGTAGCTAATTCAATTTCTTAAGTTAAACGGCTAGTTTCTTATCGTGAATTACATTCAAATGGAGTAAAGAAAACCTTTATTGTGCAATAATATTTAAATAGACCATTATTATACAATAAAAGGAAATTTGATATCAGATGTTTTATGTTGATAACTTGTATAAATCACTAATTTAAAGCTTATTGGTATTAAGAAGGATATATAAGAACGAGTTGTAAAGAATTCAATTTGGATGACACAGATTGTAAATATACTCATTTAACTAATGATGCTGTATAAAAATACAGTAAAAATTATGGGAAATATGAGACAGGAAATAAAGTAAATTAATAATATAAAATAAGGTTTCATTTAATGATTTTTCAAAATATGTATAAGAGATTTATAATATGAACTTTAATAATACAATAGAACAATTAAAGAGTTTATGTACTGACATTGTCNTACAAGATTTCAGGAAGTTAATTTTAATCAACCCAGACTCTTCTAACCTAAGTTGAATATAATCAAGTTAAAAGGGTTTCAATAGATAGTAGATCTAATTAAGTAATAAGAATCTTTTTTGAAACAAAATTAGATTCCTTAAATTAATACTCAAAAAAATCTACCTTCTATTTTGGTTTATCCTCCTAAAGCTGAATTAATTACATCTTCAAAAAAAGAAATATCAATTAGAAAATATAGTGAAACTAGGGTTTATGGAAGAAAAAGCTTTACTGAAGCTGCTGAGCCTCAATCTCTTGAGAGAAGAAAGATTAGTACTAAAAGAAATAAGTTAGCCATTAAAAAAGCACTTCCTAATAAATAAGAAGAATAAAATATGTTTGAAAATCCTTCTGATTTTGCTACAATAGTAAGTTATTCAAATTTATTAATGATAATTCCTTAAGAGAAAATAGTTTATAAGGCATTCATCACAAAAGGAAATAATGGTTAATTAGTTAGATAATTAATAAAATCTAGATCTTGGTGGGTATTACTTGATGCTCCTTAGAATGATATGAATCTTTATTGGACTTAATTAAGAAAATAAGGATTTTATAAGGATCTAATAACTTTTACTGGGAATTAATCTACATTTACAAAAACATAAAAAAAATTAGTGTTTGATAAATTTAAGCTTAAATTAGAAGAAGAAAAATATACAAATTTTGTTTCTAGTAATATCTTAAGAGTACATAATCATTTAGAAGGGAATTTCTAAATCTCAAATAAGAAAGCTTTATATTATAATATGAAATCATATTATGAATCTATAGGGTAAGATCCATTTAAATTTATACCATTAACATTTCATATTTAAGATGGAATTAAAGATCCTGTATATTAGTAATTTGAAGAATATGCAAGAAAGAATAATATTAATGTATGGATAGTAAAACCAGGGGAATAATCAAATAGAGGAAATGGGATAGAAGTAGCTAATTCAATTTCTTAAGTTAAACGGCTAGTTTCTTATCGTGAATTACATTCAAATGGAGTAAAGAAAACCTTTATTGTGCAATAATATTTAAATAGACCATTATTATACAATAAAAGGAAATTTGATATCAGATGTTTTATGTTGATAACTTGTATAAATCACTAATTTAAAGCTTATTGGTATTAAGAAGGATATATAAGAACGAGTTGTAAAGAATTCAATTTGGATGACACAGATTGTAAATATACTCATTTAACTAATGATGCTGTATAAAAATACAGTAAAAATTATGGGAAATATGAGACAGGAAATAAAGTAAATTAATAATATAAAATAAGGTTTCATTTAATGATTTTTCAAAATATGTATAAGAGATTTATAATATGAACTTTAATAATACAATAGAACAATTAAAGAGTTTATGTACTGACATTGTCAAAGCTTCTTATTAACATTTAGATCCAAATCGTCATTTCTATACTTTTGAATTATTTGGATTAGACTTTATGATAGACAGTGATTTTAAACCATGGCTTATAGAAGTGAATACAAATCCATGTCTTGAAACCTGTTGTCCTTTACTATCTAGATTGATAAATCATTTAGTCGAAAATACTATTAGAATTGCTATTGATCCTATGTATCCTCCTCCTACTAAGAAGAAACCATTACCTGAATTTAAAAATAATTTTGAATTGATTTTCAACTCTCCTTTAATAGAATAATGTGGTAAATTACCAGAAATTTAATAAGATGATGATGATCTTGATGTAGATGATGATAATTGAATTAATATATATTTATTTGTCATTCTTATTCCATACTCAATTTACTCAATTAAGATTGTAATTATATATCTTAATTAAATATATCACTCTCTGTTCTTAAATATTGATTAGCTGATAATTTTTTCTATATTTATTATTATTCTCCTTGTTCTTCTAATAAATCTTGAAAAGGTAGTTAGACATCTTAGTATATATTGGATCCAGAATGAGAATTCTCAATTCCATAAAGTTGTTTCTATTCTAAACTCATCTAATGTGGTAATTACAAGAAGTCTCCATTAGAATTTAGAGAATCTATGTAATTTATCATATTTTCATTTACCTCCTTTACCAAATCCATTATAGGAGATTTACATGTAATGATTGAATTATTATAAATTGTTTATTGAGTTTTCTTACTCAAACTAACTTTGTATAGTATCTAATTATTTATCTTCCTTTTATATTTACTCTCTGAGATACTCTTATCCTGTAAAATCAGATTTATTTTATTACTATTGAGGATTCATCACTTTACCATCTGAATCAGATTCCTTTGTTTAAATATTATAGTATTTCTTTATATGAGAATAAAACCGATTCTTTACAGAATTTTCCTATATTATTTAATTTAAATGATTACTGGTCTTCCTTTTAATTACTTAGATATTTCACTCCATTTAGGACCCAAACTTATATACAATTAATAGATATCTTCATCTTCTTTCTCATCATATGGATCATGATTGATTGCTTTGTCTAATTTATTGATAAATCTTTCTCTTATCTGTTTCCCTGTTCTCCCATTCATTTCGTTTTCAATTCTCTTCCAATTTTTCCCAAACTTTTAAATCAAACGTAAAACCTGCCTATCCTCTTCTTCCGTCCATGGTTTTCTTATTTTAATCTTTATACAATTCTTAAGATACTCTATTCGGATTTATTCTTTTCCATCTTTATGAACACTAAGATTGATTTCTTCCTGGTATAGCTTAAGCTACTTATGTCCAATTTCCATTAAATTTATCATAAAAATTCTAAAGCATTTCATCTTCCTCTGGTGTCCATATTTTTACAATTCTCTTCTTCATCATAGGTTCTGAATCAGATGCATCTGACTCATAGTAATCAGAACTATATTTTCTAATGCTTTTTCTAGAAATCTAACTCTATTGACTATTGGCTCTATGTTTTCATTAATTGTATTAATACCTGGTTCTAGTGCTTTAACTCATTTAAATATAATAATACTAAAAATTATATATTGTTAATTATCACAAAATTGATACAAATAATTATTTATAGAAAATAACAAAATTATTATTGATATGACTAAATAATATGTCATAATTATCATATATTATAACTTTATAAATTAATACCTATTAAAATTATACTTATTTACATTCAGAAATCAAATTGTTTTTAATGTAATTATAATTTGTAAATTGAATTTATTTTGAAATATATGTTTCCTACTTTAAATAAAAGGTTTAGAAGTACTAAAGTATTTTTTAATAGGATTAATTTTAATTTTAATTCTTGAAGTGTACTGAATCACTGACTAATTTTTTTAAGTAAGGACATAAGATTTTAGTACAACTAGTTAATAGTTATCCTATTCTTTATACCTAAATTTAGATCAAAAAAAGAGTGTTCAACATGAGTTTAATTATATTTAATTTGATTCTACTTTTAAGTTGACAAACTTATTAAATTAAATTTTTTGATTTATAATTATTTTATTTTCTTGCATTTACATATAAGTTGATATAAGTTGATTTTTTTTTTAGTTTCTTATTTGAAATTTATTTGATTTTTTTTCTAACTCACTTTATTGTCTACAAATTGAGCAAAGTAGTTATTTTTTGTGATAAGTATTTTTTTATATAAATTTGTTTAGGGGTCTTGTACATATATATGTTCAAGATTTAATAAGATTATAATAATATGTAGGTTATTTTTTTGGAGAATCCGTAATTCATAATTTTACTTTACTTTTTAATTTGAATCATTCTGATAATTAGTAGAATCAAATAATTATCAATTTACTATTTACATTTTTAGTATCAATTTAATATTATTAATAGGTTAATAGATAAAATTAAAAAATAACCAAGATAAAAGTTTAAATTAAATATATCATTATAGATTTATAGGGACTAGTGANATCTGTTTCCCTGTTCTCCCATTCATTTCGTTTTCAATTCTCTTCCAATTTTTCCCAAACTTTTAAATCAAACGTAAAACCTGCCTATCCTCTTCTTCCGTCCATGGTTTTCTTATTTTAATCTTTATACAATTCTTAAGATACTCTATTCGGATTTATTCTTTTCCATCTTTATGAACACTAAGATTGATTTCTTCCTGGTATAGCTTAAGCTACTTATGTCCAATTTCCATTAAATTTATCATAAAAATTCTAAAGCATTTCATCTTCCTCTGGTGTCCATATTTTTACAATTCTCTTCTTCATCATAGGTTCTGAATCAGATGCATCTGACTCATAGTAATCAGAACTATATTTTCTAATGCTTTTTCTAGAAATCTAACTCTATTGACTATTGGCTCTATGTTTTCATTAATTGTATTAATACCTGGTTCTAGTGCTTTAACTCATTTAAATATAATAATACTAAAAATTATATATTGTTAATTATCACAAAATTGATACAAATAATTATTTATAGAAAATAACAAAATTATTATTGATATGACTAAATAATATGTCATAATTATCATATATTATAACTTTATAAATTAATACCTATTAAAATTATACTTATTTACATTCAGAAATCAAATTGTTTTTAATGTAATTATAATTTGTAAATTGAATTTATTTTGAAATATATGTTTCCTACTTTAAATAAAAGGTTTAGAAGTACTAAAGTATTTTTTAATAGGATTAATTTTAATTTTAATTCTTGAAGTGTACTGAATCACTGACTAATTTTTTTAAGTAAGGACATAAGATTTTAGTACAACTAGTTAATAGTTATCCTATTCTTTATACCTAAATTTAGATCAAAAAAAGAGTGTTCAACATGAGTTTAATTATATTTAATTTGATTCTACTTTTAAGTTGACAAACTTATTAAATTAAATTTTTTGATTTATAATTATTTTATTTTCTTGCATTTACATATAAGTTGATATAAGTTGATTTTTTTTTTAGTTTCTTATTTGAAATTTATTTGATTTTTTTTCTAACTCACTTTATTGTCTACAAATTGAGCAAAGTAGTTATTTTTTGTGATAAGTATTTTTTTATATAAATTTGTTTAGGGGTCTTGTACATATATATGTTCAAGATTTAATAAGATTATAATAATATGTAGGTTATTTTTTTGGAGAATCCGTAATTCATAATTTTACTTTACTTTTTAATTTGAATCATTCTGATAATTAGTAGAATCAAATAATTATCAATTTACTATTTACATTTTTAGTATCAATTTAATATTATTAATAGGTTAATAGATAAAATTAAAAAATAACCAAGATAAAAGTTTAAATTAAATATATCATTATAGATTTATAGGGACTAGTGAGAATTCTAAATAAGCTTCAAATATTGAAAAGGAAAAAGAAATTAAAATTAATCAAAAATTGATAATTTGATATTTAAGAATCCTTAGTGATAGATAAAATTAAAAAAAATCAAGAATGATCATTTATATAAATCTAGGATTTTTGAAAAGATTATTTTTAATTTTAAATAATTATCAATAATTGAATATATGAGTCTATTTTGAAATTAAGTTTTTTAGAGGATTATAAGTTTATTTAAGAATAAAAATGAGTAATTAAAATTAATGCTATAAATAATATCGATTCTATTTAATTTTGTATGGTATTATATCATTTATTTTGATTATCTAAATTTTTGTAGACATTATTAAATCTCCAATTATGATAATAATGAGCAGGAGAATAGTCAGAATAAACATGATTTGGATCTTTCTTGGAATAAATGATAGATGGAACAAATTCCTTTCCTACTTCAGTTCTATCTTTAAGTAAAAGATGAACACCATCATACATAGATAGGAATCTCAAATAAATATAAAAATTACTTTGTGAATCTGCTTGCAAAGACAAATGATTAATCTTTGAATTCGTATATCCAATGATCTATATAATATAAATATAATTACTTAAGGTGTTATTATCTCCTTAAACAGAATGAACATCATGTCCAAAACCTCTAACTTATGGGCAAACCTTCAACATAGGTAGAGTATTTGTTCCTAAATGTACCCATCTTGAGAATTCAGGGAATGCAAAATGAGCTCTGCCTGTATAAAGACCTGCTTTGACTGGCCAGAAGGCAAGAGAATCAGCTTTATTAAATGATATATTATCATTAAGGAATTTAAGAGCAAATTTCCAATCCCATTATCCTGAAGGTAGTTTAACAAGATTATCACTAAAAATAGATCTCCATTTAACACACTATATAAGAATATTTAAATAATTTAACCTCTATGTTTTCTTTGAGAAATGATTCAATTTATGATTTGGTCATTTCTTTAGTATTAATTCCTGATAATTTCTTAATAAAGCCTCTGAATTCTGTAAATGCTTCATGAAATCTTTAATCCATAGGTGAGTAATCAATACAGAATACACCTGTTGTTCTTTCAGGATGATAACATCCAGCAGCTAAAGCAACCTTTGCTCCAAATCCATGTCCAGCCAAAGTTGCCATTGTAATTTTGTTATAATACATGTATCTAACAACATCATTGGCTAGATCTTCAACATCAAAAGAGTAATGTCTATCTGATGTACCAAAATTTCTTGGACTCAAAATATGCACATTTCTATAATCAAGAATCTATCAAATTTACACATTTTTCTACCTTATTAGATGGGTCACTGAAGAAAGGGATCCAATTTTCAACTGGATCACAGGCTTCAGGAAAGAAGAGCATATTTGGTAAATCATTATATCTGCCTTTGAGAGTGACTCCCCTTAAGACTACATTCTAGGAAACATTCTAATGTTCACCAACTCCTTTGTGGAATTAGAGTGTACTGAATTTCCAAAGTTATCGAAATCTGTACATAGATATTTTAATTAATTAATTTATTCATATACTATCATAGCCACCATGTCTAAATCTCTAGACCTGAGTTTACAATCTATCTACACCAAAATGAAAGATTGTTCTAACTTAAGGAATAAGAGTTTTAATTTAATGAAAATGAGGGATAGCATCCTCTCCTTCTAATTATAATTTTTTACGATTATATATGAATCGACCCCCAAAATATAAACAAATAATAAAAATGAATTTAAGAAACCAATGTGAACCTACATTATTGATATGGAATCAATACTTGCATTCCTACAGCCAACATGATGTCTAATTTTAAATTGATCTATGCATTCATTATCTGGTAAAACAGTAAATGTGGCATCATCATTTCCACATTCAATAAAAAAATGAGCCTATCTTGGTTACATTACTCCAGTAGGTTATTATTTTGGATCCATACACAAATCTCCTTAGGTGTATTTTATAACTATGCCTTTTTATAAATCTCTTTAATCCAAATGTTCAAATGTTTAAGTTTCTACTAATCCAGCTACATCACAATTTTCTGTTATTTATCCCATAACTGCTAAAGCTTCAATAGCTCCTACTTATCTATCATGACATTTTATGGGTTTGAAATCACAAAAATTGAATATGTAAACCATACTAAACATTCCCATCCCACTTGTTTCGTCTTTTAATTACCATCCTCCAGGTTTATCTAAAGATTTTAAATTATAGGTGTATCCTGATTCATCTGTCCATGTGCATTTTTGGCATTAAGCAATTCCTATCAAGAATAACAATATAGTTATCGTAAAATTAGGACACATATGTTAATTAATTTTATTATATATTATATTTATGAATGTATCAATAAGCTCTAACAGATTACTGTTACATTTTAGCTTTTAAATCTTGATTTTCACCTTCCAATTCTTAAATTTGTTTGTCAAAATTATCCAAATCTTCATTTAACTATCCAATTATTTCTTCTTGTTCTTTTAATTTATTTTCAGCTACTTAGTATTTATATTTTAAAGCTTCAATTTGAGTTGCTAACATAGCTATCTTACCTTCATTATCATACTAATTTTATCAATATATTTATTACTTTAATCTATTCTAATTATTCTATCTATTATTATTATTGCCCAATCTTATCTTTCAATTATTAATTTTCATGATCTCTTTATTACAATTCATTCTCTAATTATTATTAATTTATAAGTTATTCATTTAATAAATTCAATTAGTTTTAAAGGTCATTGACACTAAATTATTAATTTAATATACTTAGCTTTGACTTAATTCAATTCATCAGATTTTGCAGTTAAAGTTGAATGAAGAGTATTATTTTCTTTCTCTAAATTTTACACTTTCTCTTCTGCTTAATTTAAAGCATTATCCAAATTGCCTAATTCTTATTATAAATGTTCATAATCTTATAATTTTTCTTCTAGTTCCTTAATTGTATTTTAAGCTCCATTATATTTTAATTTAGCTCTCTCTATTTCTGGTCCAAGCAATGCTACTTTATTTTATAATCCATAAACTTCATTATTTAATTTATTAATTTCATCATCTTTCTTCATTAAATCTAATTAATCTTAATCTGCTTTTTTCTTCATTTCTTATATTTACTCTGATAATCGTGTATTTTCAGGATCTAATGGTTCAAGTTAAGCAACAACATTTGATAACTATTTATTTTAATTATTTAATAATACATCTGTGTTTTAATTAGTTAATTCATCTATTTTTTCTTATTTATTTTTATTTAAATGCTTTTATCTCTCAATTTCTGCTGCCAACATTGCTATTCTCATATCTAAATTCTCTTTCTCCTTAGTCACTTTATCCAATTATAAAGTGGTCTTATCTAAATCTTCTTTTGTCATTCTCAAATCTTAAGCTCTATAAAATATTTAAATAAATACATACTTTTCAGCATAATTGGCCTACAATTTTTAATAATCCTTTTCCATAACTTCATATGCTTCTATTTTACTTTCAAGTTCTTTAACTTTAGTTTAAGCTTCTCCTAATTTTTTAGCTATTTATTTATTTTCACCTTATAATTTGTTAACCAATTATTATAAATCATTAACTTAAGTTTGTAATGGTTCAATTTATGCTACTTATTATTCTAATTCTGCTATTCTCTATTACAAATCTGCAATTTAATGCTATAATTCTTCTTCCATTAATTATTTCTCTAAAGTTATTGCTTTCAATTATTTTGTTAATTTATTGAAATTATCTGTTAATTCATCATTTATTAATCTCATCTATATAGCTTCAGCTTTATACACTTACAATGTCTTAACCTCATTATCTTTTTATAAATATTTAGCTTTCCATTATTCTAATTCTTCTTTTAATTAAACAATGTCATTTTTCAAAGATTCATTTTCTTATCTTACTTGATTAAGTTTTGTATCCAAAGTAAGGTTGAACCCTATTGCTTCTTTTAATTCTTATTCTAATATTCTATCTTTTATTATTTTTCCTTCCAATTCTTTTATCAATTTCTCTAATTATTCAATTTTATTTCTTAATTGATCTAATTCTTTTGTAGCTTTCTTTAATTCATCAGCAGTCTTTTAATGTTATTCTTACTCATTTAAAAATGCTTCTTCCAATTTTACAGATTATAATCTCTAAGCATTTAATTATTAGACTACTAAAGAATAATTAGATTCCAATTATGATAAATTTGATTTTATTTAAAATAAGGTTCTAATTTACAATTATTGTTAACTTAATTATTCATTTTAAAGATTTACTTAATCATTATAATCTATATTCTATTTTGATAGTTTATCTACTTAATTTTATAATTTATTAGCTTTTTATTCTAATTAAGGAATTAATTCTTATAAATGATTTAGTTCATTAACTTTTTATTCTAAATTCTTATTCTTTCTCTTAAGTTCTTCAATTTCTTTTATTAAATTTTATTTTTCTTGTCTCAATCTCTCTACTTCATTCTTATAGATCTAGAATTATTAATCTGTTCTTAGTAATTTCTTCTCTAAATCAGAAACTTGTTATATATATGTTGGTAATTAAATATTAAGTTCTGTAATTTCTTTACTTTTTAATGTATTTTCTGCCTTTAATTTTTCAATTATTGCTTCATATTATTTATTTTAATCTTCAAACAAAAGTGTTTCTTAAATTTTAATTTATAATGATCTATTTTCACTTTGTAATTTACTTATTTAATCTTAATAATTTGTATTTAAATCAGCTAACTAATTCTTTTATATTGTAATATCATTTAATTTTCTTTAAAGTCCCTTCAAATCAGCTAATTAACGATCATTTTCCAAATACTTTTCTTTGTATTAATCAGCTAATTTTTAAATAGCTTTGATTTCCTCTTATTTACGTAGTATTTCTTCTCTTAATTCTTAGAGTTAGAGATGAAGATCATTTTTGATTGAATTGTTTTAATCTTATAAAGTTTAAATAGTTTTCTTAAGATTAAGTAATTCAGATTCCAATTCTTTGATTCTATCTTATAATTTTGCATTTAACACTATCTAATTATCTAATTCTTATTATTTGTTTTACAATTAATTATTGAGAGTATCAATTTATTATTCTGCTTTTGCTAATTTCAATCTCAAATCTTCAATTTATTAAGATTTTTAATTTAAAAGTGTATTATTTCTTTATAATTCAATATTAATTTAATTATCTCTTAAATTATTAACATTTTTTTATTATTAAATATTTTAGAATTATTATTATAATTATTAATTTCTTGAACTTAAATCTGAATTAATTTTAAGTGTTTATTCATATTTTTATTATAATACTTTCAATTAACTTTATAATTCTCCTAATCCATCAACTTATGATTATAATTATTGATTTTCTGCCTCTAATTGAGCTAATTATAAATTAAGTTGATCATTTAATGATTTATAAGTTTCACATTATTAGAAAATCTTTAAATATTCTGTTTCTTTAGATATCAATTCTTTTAATCTTTATTCTAATTCAAAGTTTTTAACAGTCAAATCTTTAATCTACTTTCTCAATTCACCAATGTCTCTATCCTTCATGTCTAATTAAGACTTAGCTCTATTTAAGTCTAATTCAAGAATTCTTAATTATTGTAATTTTTCTTATAAATTCTATAATTCTTTTTCAACATTAGTTAATTGTTCATTCTTTAATTTAAGTTCTTTATCTAAAGATGATAATTCTGACAACAAACTTTATTTTTCAATTTATAATTCATTTATTTCCAAAACTTATTATCTTAAAGTATTATTATCATTTTCAACAAATTTTAATTTATTATTTAGTTTATCATATGCTTACTATTTATTTTCAAGTGTTCTATTTAATTGATCAATTTAATAATTCAAAACACCATTCTATTTTTACAAATCTTAATTTTAACCTCTAATTTAATCTAATTATTTTTTCAATTTCTCATTTTCTAGAATTTATTTGGCTTGATCATCATTTTTTCTTTTTAATTCATCAATGACTCTTTATTTCTCTTAAATTTATTATTTCAAACCTTATAATTCTTTGATATGATCTTCAGCTTATTAAAGACTAATTAATAATTAATTATTACTTAGTTTTTAATCTTTCTATTTCTTATTATTTTGATGCAAGTTATTAATTTAATCTTTCAATCTCTTTAACTAATAATTTATTATTATTATCTTAATCAGTTACTTGAACCTATAGATCAAATACTTATAATTCTAATGTCAAAGCCTTTTTTCTCCATTAATCTAAATCATTTAATATTTAATTAATTTAATCTCTTAATTTCTTATTCTCATCTTCTAATAAATCCATTGTAGATAATTGACCTCTCTTAACAGTATCTAAATTCAATTAATTCATTCTCTCTAACAATTCTCTTAATTCTTATAATAATCTATTTCTATCTTCTTCAGATAACTTGAATTTATCTTTCCACATTGCCAATTCATTTTCTAGATTCTTGATCTTACTATGTAATTCAAAATTTTCAATTTCTTATTTTCTTGCATCTATTAAAAGTTCTTCTAATCCTTATAATTTTGCTCTTAACTGAAAAATCAAATAATTATTACTTCTAAATTTTCATCTTATTTTTTCTTAAGTAATTCTTGAAGTGCATCATGTTCATGTTAATTTAATTCAAGTTAATAAATTTTATTATCTCTTTAAGCAATTGCTAAATCTTTCTATTCATTTTCATTAATAAGTTGTTTAATTAATGCTATCAATTTACCATTTTCATCTGATAATATCTTTAATCTCATTTCATACATTCCAGTCTAAAAAACTTAATTTTTTTTAATTACTAGCTCTTCTAATCCTGAACCTCCGCTTGTAATTTATAAAGCAAAGAATCTTGCCTTCCATTACTCCACTTCTATTCGCAGTTAATTTAGTTTGTCCTAGTCAGATCCATCTCCATCTTACTTAATGATGATGGCTAACAATAATTTTATAATAATTACTTTATTAAGGTCTAACATAAGTAGGTACTATCTTTGATGTTATCATTGGTTATATTTATCCATTAGGCATTTAAAAGTACTCTAATTAATTTACTACAGCTGATTATGCCATAGCAACATTAGGCTAAAGGATTAACATTATTATTTACTGAGTTAATAACTCTTACACTTGATCCATCAGCACTAGATTTTTTCATCTTGTCATTAGGAATGATAATATGACTTTCTGAATAAACTCTTGATTATTATTTTCCTGGTTATGGTGATAAAAATCTCCCTCGATTAGGTGTTTATTATTCACTCATTTAGATTAAATTAATATCTTTACAATAATTTTTATATCAATATATATATAATTAAATGAACTTCAAGATTTTTACTAATTGATAGAACCTTTTCTATGGGATTGAATAAATTATATCAATTATTATCAATAGTAATTATTTTGATTTATTTTATTTTCCAATATTTAAAGTTACTCAAACTTGTTAAATTTTATTTAGTAAAATAAAAATTATGTCTGAAGAAAATATTAGTTAAAAAAATCAATTCGAATTTGCTAAGCATGCCAATGCTGTTAGAAGATTCGAGAATCTTGAGAAACTTAAGTTAATTGAACGTTTAGAAACAATGCAAAGAATTAAAAATTCTAATGATAGATTAGAAATTAAGAAATTTATGTTTCAATTACAATAAAGAATGTTAGATGAACCTAATTAGTTTTCAATTATTAAATTTTCAATAGGTCTAGTAAAGCTAATTTCAGAGAATGTGCCTAAAGAAGTGTAGAAAAATTAAAGCGTGATTCAAAACTTTCTCGTTCACCTGATTCTCGTTAAACTACAGCAGCTGAGAAGTATATAGAAATAAAAGAAATTCATGTTAAACCATTTAAAATGTGATAGTTTTAATTAGTTAAATTAGATCAATATTATCAATTATTGGTTAAAATCATAATTATTGATTTTAATTTTCTAAAAAAAAAATAAATTAAGAATATTATAATTAATTAATTTTATGATTAGCGAAAAATAATTTTTAACTCTTTAATATTTGTATTTTATTCAAAATTAATTTTATAATTTAAATCTATAAATAATCTTGCATATAAAATTAAGATATAAATAATTTCAACTAAAATGAATTGTTTTTTTCATTCTGCTTACATTATTATTATTTACATGTAAATAAAACAAAGATTATATGCAATAAATATATTTCAGCTTTTATTTTTCAAATATATGATTTTAAGAACAGTTTTCTTTTTTTTAATACATCACCTTATCTATTTATATTATTTTTAGGACTCAAAGCAACATCAAAATGTACACTTTTTATAGATTTTTGAACATCCGATATTTATTGAAAATATTATGCTTTATTATTTATAAGTTCTTTTTTTTTCAAAATACTTCGTATCCCTATGCTTTAAAATGATGTAGATAACTTTGTAGTTAATGATCTTGTTTTTTTAGAGGGTTTATGATGGATTTTTCTCTTCAAGTAATAAGAAGTAAAATTTTCTCTAGAATTAGTTTAAATATCGCAAGCTGGTGAATAGGATTTGGCCTTTGTTTTGTTTTTTACTATTAGACGATCATATTGATCCATCAATAAAAATAATGCAAAGTCGTCTTCTTCTTGAAGAGGCAGAATTTATTCTAAGGGGATAGGTTTTTTGAGATCTGCTACAAATATTTCATGATTACTCTTTCTTGGTTCCATTTTGAGTTTCATTTCTTATATAGGATCTTAGGTATTTTTGCAACAGCAAGGTTATGAGCCCATACTTTTGCTAAATTGTCTTTTATATTTTAATTAGGTTTCTTAAGAACTTCTAATAAATAAAAAAAGCATGTATAGAAGTTTTCAGTATATGTTTATTATTTCTAAGTTTTCTAAAAGAAAGATAAAATGGATGATTATTGTGAAGCAGTATATTTGATTATTAAAAATTAAATTGTCACTTTAATGCTTCAAAATATAACAATCCATGAGATTATTTCTAATTAGAATATAAATTTCTAAGAATAATAAGGAAATATTTAATTAATATATGCTTCTATAGTAGAATAAAGTACTGATATTTAACCAAAATTTATGTATGAAGGATTTTAATTATTTTATATATAAATATTCTTAAAAATCAGCATAAAGAAGNAATATTATAATTAATTAATTTTATGATTAGCGAAAAATAATTTTTAACTCTTTAATATTTGTATTTTATTCAAAATTAATTTTATAATTTAAATCTATAAATAATCTTGCATATAAAATTAAGATATAAATAATTTCAACTAAAATGAATTGTTTTTTTCATTCTGCTTACATTATTATTATTTACATGTAAATAAAACAAAGATTATATGCAATAAATATATTTCAGCTTTTATTTTTCAAATATATGATTTTAAGAACAGTTTTCTTTTTTTTAATACATCACCTTATCTATTTATATTATTTTTAGGACTCAAAGCAACATCAAAATGTACACTTTTTATAGATTTTTGAACATCCGATATTTATTGAAAATATTATGCTTTATTATTTATAAGTTCTTTTTTTTTCAAAATACTTCGTATCCCTATGCTTTAAAATGATGTAGATAACTTTGTAGTTAATGATCTTGTTTTTTTAGAGGGTTTATGATGGATTTTTCTCTTCAAGTAATAAGAAGTAAAATTTTCTCTAGAATTAGTTTAAATATCGCAAGCTGGTGAATAGGATTTGGCCTTTGTTTTGTTTTTTACTATTAGACGATCATATTGATCCATCAATAAAAATAATGCAAAGTCGTCTTCTTCTTGAAGAGGCAGAATTTATTCTAAGGGGATAGGTTTTTTGAGATCTGCTACAAATATTTCATGATTACTCTTTCTTGGTTCCATTTTGAGTTTCATTTCTTATATAGGATCTTAGGTATTTTTGCAACAGCAAGGTTATGAGCCCATACTTTTGCTAAATTGTCTTTTATATTTTAATTAGGTTTCTTAAGAACTTCTAATAAATAAAAAAAGCATGTATAGAAGTTTTCAGTATATGTTTATTATTTCTAAGTTTTCTAAAAGAAAGATAAAATGGATGATTATTGTGAAGCAGTATATTTGATTATTAAAAATTAAATTGTCACTTTAATGCTTCAAAATATAACAATCCATGAGATTATTTCTAATTAGAATATAAATTTCTAAGAATAATAAGGAAATATTTAATTAATATATGCTTCTATAGTAGAATAAAGTACTGATATTTAACCAAAATTTATGTATGAAGGATTTTAATTATTTTATATATAAATATTCTTAAAAATCAGCATAAAGAAGACTTTATAGTTTATTAATGAATTTCCTTGAAAAAATTAAAATAATAAATATTGTAGTATTAATTTAATAATTTATATTTATAATTATTAGAATAATAATGCAATTAATTAAATATAGTGTTGTTATTATATTAAAGAATTGATAGTTAAATGAATTATTGATTTGTAATCATATTCCGTATTATTATTTTACATAAATATATTACATAATATTAAATTAAATTGTAATTTTCAATAACGGATACAATTTAAATGTATATTAAAGGTAATGAATAACAATGATTATTTATGATTGGAATGTAATTAAATTTATATAAACATAAACAAGTATTAAAATTGAGAATCAAAGATAAGAAATTTTTGTATATCCCTAATATTTTGACTATTATTTGTTCTTCTATAATTCCTTTATTGAAAACCTAACTCTTTTATGTTATTATAAGTTTCTTTTTTCCTAATCCTAAAGGATTGTCTTATTTTTTAAAATACTTTTAGGAGGTATTTCAGAGAGATTATTTTGAATAAATACACTTTTTGATCTATTTTTAGTTCCATCTGAATTATTGATGAAATTGAAATCAGTGATTTTATCTAACTCTCTTTGAGATAGATTTTTGTTTTCTAACTTCTAGAATGACTCAACTATACTGATATTTGTTTCTACATCTTAATTCTATTAATCTTCATCTGAAGATAGTTTAAGTTTAAGGTCTTCTAATGTTTCCGTTATCGTAGTACTCTATTCTAATATTATCCTAGAACTGCCATCCTGAAGGCATTCTCTTTTAATTATAAGTTGTCTTAAATCATTTACTGATGAATCACATCGTTAATTATTTGTTGCACATATCTATTATATTTGCCCCATTCAAGTAATTATATAAATAAAGAAAATAATAATTAGAAAGAAAATTTTTAAATGCATTTCTTTCTCATAAATAATTATCGAAATTATATATTTAATAAAGTCTTTTTCAAAAAATATCAATCAACTTTTTAGAATTACATTATAAAATAAAAGGTAGAAACTATACTTTATATTTTGATTTTTTCTAGAATTGAGATTCTTGAGTATTTGATCTTTTTTTCAATATACTGCTTGGTTTTTATGTTGTGCTTAATTTCGATGAATTATTTTAAAATTAAACTGCACTGAAAGATCTGCAATATTATTCTTTTTTCTTTTTTTCATGTTTCTTACTTATCAAAACTCCTGAATTTTTAAAATCAACAGAAATTGAGCGACTTCTGTTGTTGGATGAACAATTATAGGCTGTACTTATTGATTTTCTATTCACTAACTATTCATATGTTGCCATAATTTATAGTAAAGAGGAATCATCTTCTGGAGTGATTTGCACAACTTAATTAAAAAGAGGTTATTTAAATTAAGTCAAATGAAGTTCATTATCAATTATTGTATTTTGTTTCCCCTAAGAATAAGATTAAGGACAGCACAAACAACTAGGATAGGATCCCATTTTAATATAAGTTAATTATTTTATAGAATATTCATATTTGGTGACATGAATATTAGATTATAGGTAAAGAATATTCTTGAAGAATATTAGATAAATATTAAATTAAAAATATATTTATGATATTCAGATTTTTTTCGTGCTTTCAATTTTAAATTAGTTAATACAACTATCAACAAATAGATGATTGATATTTGATCAAACATTTATATAAAGAACATTTTCTAAATATAAAAGTAATACTTTTAAATTTTTTTGCTCATATCTAAACCAAACCGAACGATAGCAATCCATTTAATAAATTTAAGTAATGAAATTAGATTTAATTTTTTTGATTTATTATTTATAATTTTGTATTTTTTAATAAACAATTTCGAGCAACTATTTTCTCCTTATAAATATATAGATAAAGGTTACAATCTATATCAAACTTTACAAATAACATTCCTTTTCTTCTAATTATTTAATTTCTCTCTCAATATTGTTTTAATCATTCATTTTTATCAGATTTAATAATCATCAATAATGTATATCTTTAAATTCATATCTCAATCCTATAATAAACAAAAATAGTCTTCAAATATTTATCTCATTAGTTTATGTTTTTTTAGATATTACAAAACAAAACCTAAATACAATTTTTGCATCTAGATAAAGGTTGCTTATTGATAGTAATATGAATAATGATTTTTCATTAGTATATATATAATATAAATTTAATATGCAAGGATTAAACAATTAAAACTAAAATCCTATAGTGAGACCTAAAACATTAATTTGTTATATTTGTGGACGAGAGTATTATAAATTACTAATTTAGATATGGAACAAAAAGTTTAGAAATACATCTTAAGACTTGTCAAGAAAAGTTTCTTATGGAAGAAGCAAAAGTACAGTTACATTATACATTTTTTTCAATTAGAAACCTAAAAATTAGAGAAGACCATTACCATAACCTCCAAAAGCTATAGGCGGTAGTGGAAATTATGATACAGAATCATATAACGATTAAGCATTTCATGCATATAAAGAATAGAGTCTTGAGAAATGTGCATATTGTGGCAGAACGTAATAGAATTTCAGTTATCCCTAGTTTCAATAGAGAAAGCTATCCTATTCATTTAAAAATGTGCAAGGCTGATAAACCATTTAAACCTCTACCTGGATTTGTTTAAAACCCTAAAGAAGTCCAGTAACAAATTAATCGAGATAATGGAGGAACTTAATAAGGAAAATCAAATTCTAATGGTTATTCAGGAGAGTATAAGGCTCCTGTAAGACCAAAGACTTTGGTATGCTACATTTGTGGTAGAGAATATGGTACTAAATCTTTGGGAATCCATATACCATAATGCAAAGAAATGTTTATTGTGTAGGAAATGAAGAAACCAAAAGCTGAAAGAAGGAATCCTCCCACAACTCCAAGAGGCTTATGGGATTTATTAAATAAAGAAGATATTACTACAGAAGACATTATGGCCTATAATAATGGAGTAATTAAATGTGTTCTAAAATATAAAGGCTTTTAACAAATACAACAAAGAAGCCTTAGTAGCATGTAAGAACTGTGGTAGAACATTCAAACCTGAGGCTTTGGAGCATCATATAAAGGCTTGTACTGTGGATAACCCTTTTAAAGCATTAGATGCTGTTGAGGAGGGAGGTACAGTTGAATTAGTTCCTTGTAAGAAATGTGGAAGGAAATTCTTACCATCTAGAGTTGAAAAACATGAAAGCAATTGTAAAGATATAAAGGGAGCAGCATAAACATAAGCAAATGGTTTTTAGAAATAATAAGAATAAAAATAAGAATAAAAATAGATCTTAGAAACTCCATAATAAAATCAAAAATAATAAACAAAATAAGTTTAAAAATAATAAAGTTTTTCAAAAACATCAGTCAATTTTAATGATAAAAGTTTGAAATGTAAATAAATTTATTTTATATTAAGGTTATAAATGTTTTTAAGATTGCAATAATATTTAAGATTTAAAATAACATGTGTTAAATTGTAAAAATGAAGGTACAAAACCTTAGATCTATGATGATTTGATATAAATTCCAAATCCATCATAAGCACTCTAAACAATTTATATGAGTTCTGTTTTTGAAAATTTTTAATAAAAAGATAACAATTTAACTACCCCAGAATAATAAAAATCATAACCTAAATAATAATCTTAACCTTAAAAATAGTAATCAATATAATAATAAAATAATAATCATTTTTCTGATGAAGATTAAGAGGATAAAGAAGATGAAATTGATTTAATAACATGTGAAAAATGTGAAAGGAGATTTGCTTAAGATAGAATAAAGAAGCATCAAAAAGTTTGCAAAGGCAAATAATATTTTGAAAAAAAAGAACATAAAGTTGAAGTTTAAAAGGCTCCAGAAACTGGATGGAGAAAATATCATGAAGAATTTATTAATACTATAAAATATAACAGATAATTGAAGAAAATATAAGAAGAAGGAGGTGATATTAAATAATTAGGACCTCCTCCTGTATCATTAAATAGCAATTATATTCAATGTCCTTATTGCTAAAGAAAGTTTGATCCAAGTAAAGCTGATAAACACATTTCAATTTGTTAGAATGTCGTTAATAAACCTAAAACTATCCAAGAAAAGAAATAAAATCCATTGCATTCATAGTAACCATAGCAACCAATTTTCTAATTATAATAATAATAACAACCTCAATAGAATTTTAAACAATAATAAAAAGTATAATAAACAAATTAACAACAACAAAACACATAAAATCCAAAATATGGAAGAGTATTTTAAATAAATGATGAACCTTCATAACCAAAAGTTCAATCATAATAAATGAATGTATAATAATCTAAATCATCATAGTAAAGATAATCAATTTCTTCATAAAAAACTCCATAAATTACTTAAAAAGCAACAAGTCAATAATAATCATTACTATCACCACCTTAAACTACAAATTAGTTTAGAATAAGATCACCATAAACAACATAAAAAACGTAATAAGTGAAATAATCTCAAAATTCTACTAAAATTGAAAACAATATATTCCGACCACCAACATCTGGTAGAACATAAGAGTTAACAAAACCTAATTCTTAATTGTAATTAAAACCAATTAGTTAAAATTAGAATATGTTTAGAAAATTTTGAATTTATTCTATTTTAATATTTTATTGATTCTTCTTTTATCATAAATTCATTTTTTATAAAAAAATATTATATGAAGATGTTTTTTGAAGATAATATTTAATTGTAGCATTAGTATTTAATATTTTATTAATATTTCATTATTTTGTATTGTATGAACCACAATGGCTACATTTTAGATAATAATTAAAAGAGATTTCATTTGAAATTTCTCGACAATCAAAACATTAAATAGAAACTTTTAAATTTGAAATGGAAACAGGTAATAAATTTTTGGTTTCTTCAGCTAATTTATCATAGTGTTCAATCTCCTCTTTAGTCATTTTCTGTTGAATAAATAAAATATTTACAGAAATAGGAAAGCTACATAATGGACAATTTCTATGATTAGTTTTAATTAGTTAATTAAAGCATGTTTGATGAATGAAGTGAGCACAATTTGGTAATTGCATTATAAAATTTGTAGAAATTTTTAGATTTTCTAAACAAACAGGACAATCATTATCGGCTGCCTGATTTAAACATCTGTGTGTATTTTAACTTTATTTAGATAAACAGATGCCACATAGTTTACAATGAAAATTTTCTTCTTTAATACCCTGAATAATTATGTAGGATAATTACTCTTCTGCACATATTACATTCATCACAATGATATATTTATTTATTAGGATCATCATCATATAATTTACAAATAGAACAAAAATATTTAGCAAATTAAATTCCACATTATTTACATTAATTAGTTGGTGATTATTCAAATAAACATTTTCTACATTGTATTATAGTAACATTATATCGATCCATAATTTCTGTTTTGCATCCATCAGAATTTGGTCCTTAATAATTGGCATTATGACAAAGTCTACAGGGATAAAATTTACCACAACAAGGAGCTTTCTTATCACAATTTCTTAAATAGTGTGGACAATAAGGTAGTGGAGATATCATTTTTTTTAAAGAATTAAAAAATTAAAAAATAAATGTAATTTTTGGATTGACGCATCATTATGTAATTTTCTTTATATTCATTTATACTGAGGATTATATTATTAAGAAATATATGTAATAATAGTAGGATCAATTGAAGATAGCCTTTTTACATCCTGGTATTTAAATATAATAATATTAAAGATTTGGGTATTGGAGGAGCAGAATAATTAGTAGTAAATCTTGCATTGGCATTGCAGAAAAATCATTATGTTAAAATCTATACTCCACATCATGATCCTAGTCACTCATTTCCAGAAACAAATGGATAAATACCTGTAGAAGTAAGAGGAAATATCATACCTGCTCATTTCTTTGGTAATAATATATCATAATTATCAAAAAGGATATTGTACAGCAATGTGTGCTTATATAAGAATGATATTAGCAACTTTGTATATAATATTTTTTAGTGGTCGTTGGGATGTTATCATTATTGATTAAGTATCTGTTTGTCTACCATTGTTTTGGTTATTTAGAAGAAAGACTATTTTTTATTGTCATTTTCCTGATAAATTATTATGTGTTGAAAGAAAATCATTCATAAAAAAGATTTATAGATTTTTCTTGGACTCTTTTGAAGAAATTAGCATGCTTTTTGCTAATTTAGTATTAGTAAATAGTTAATTTACTAGAGAAATAGTAAAATAAGCATTTCCTCTTTATAATAAATATGGAAGACAACCAGAAGTGTTGTATCCAGCAATAGAATTCTCAAAATTTGAAATGGCTCCTGAACTTAGTAGACATGATAGTAGACTTACAAGCAACAATTATTTCTTATCATTAAATAGATATGAGAGAAAAAAGAATATTGCATTAGCAATTCATGCATTTGCTGCATTTAGATAATAATTACATTCAGATGAAAATATAGAAACTATAAGATTAGTGATAGCTGGAGGATTTGAATAAAGAGTAGAAGAGAATGCTTAACATTTTGAAGAATTAAATTAGATTGCTTAAAGATAAAATGTTGCTGAATATGTTTCTTTCAAAAAAAATATTTCAGATTCTGAAAGAACTTGGTTAATGTCAAATTCATTAGCTGTTCTATATACACCAGAAAGGGAACATTTTGGCATTGTTCCCGTTGAAGCTATGTATAATTAAGTTCCTGTAATTGCATGTAATTCTGGAGGACCTAAAGTAATTATTTAATTAAAACCTTTTAGGAATCAATTTAGAATGGAGTAACTGGATATTTGTGTGAATCTAAAACTAATGAATGGTGTTAAAGAATGATTGAAATTTATTAAAATAGGGAAAAAAGTAAAGAAATGGGAGAAAGAGGTAGAGATAGAGTAATTTAATTGTTTGGATTTGCATAATTTTAAATGCAAATGGATAGTTATGTAAGGATGGTTACCAAAACAGGAAAATAAAAATAATAATGAATATTAAAGGTTATTTTGGAATCATTTTATTATTGTATAACATATAAAAATACGTAATATTTGAGAAATTAAATCCAACTTACAGAGAATGACTTCATTTTTAAAATAAAACATCTTTTCTTCTTAAAACACTGAACAACCACCATAGACTGGCCAGGTCATTTAATTAAACCAGCAAATATGCTTTTAGATTGTACTTCTTAAGAGGTATGTTTATCAAAATTTAAATAATTTTTAGGTTGTGATAATAGATAGCTCACCTAATCATAATAGAGAGAATTTCTTAATTATGCTAAAATCGATCCATATGGCCATTCCTTTATGATATATAATTCAAATGAACTTAAAAATAAGGTAAATTTATGGAAATAAACACTTCCATGGATTACACCATATTATGCAATTAAGAGCAACCCTATTGAACCTTTATTATAAGATATCATTAATGGACCTTTTGGGACTTTTGACTGTGCCTCTAAAGGAGTAAGATCTTTATAATATCTTTAGGAAATCTAAATGGTGATGAAATATGGAGTTCCCGCTTCAAAGCTGGTTTATAGTAATCCAGTCAAAGAGGAAAAGGATATTTATTATGCTAAGAACAAGGGAGTCTCAATAACCAGTGCTGACTCTATTGATGAACTAATCAAAATCTAAAAGATAGCACCAGAGATGAAGATACTATGGAGATTATCTATTGTTGAAGAGAACCCAGAATAAATGGCTACCTTATTTTCAGGCAAATTTGGAGATGATGTACCTAATTTAGAGGCTGCTCATAAAAGGTTTAAGTAAATTCAATAAATGGGAATTCAATTACATGGTATTCATTTTCATTGTGGAAGTGCTGTCTAAGGATCATCCTCTTTTGGAAAAGTAATTAATTTATTTATCTTTAGGCTATTGATTTGGCCTAAGAATGCATGAGAATAGGAAGATTGTATGGACATAAGATGGAATTATTAGATGTAGGTGGTGGATTTCCTACTGGTAATATTCATGAAAATGCAATTAATGCATTAAAAAAAACTTATAATGATCCTTTAGGATATTAAGTGATTGCTGAACCTGGAAGACATTTTAGTGCTAATACATGTTCATTGTTGTTTAGAATAATGACTAAAAGAATTAAGCATGGTAGATTATGTTATCATGTAAATGAATCTTTGTATCATTCTTTTAACTGTATACTTATGGATGGTATCTCATTTGAAAATTAAAATGATCAATTCTATGGTGTTCTCAATTCTGATGAATCCTAAAATTCTTAAATTTCTGATCAATCTAACGTTTCAATTTTTGGAATGACATGTGATGGTGCTGATATTATTGCAAAGAATATGACAGTTCCTAATGACATGTAAGTTGGAGATTGGTTATGTATGTAAGGTATGGGAAGTTACACTATTGGACCTAAATCCACATTTAATGGAATGAAATCAACATCTAAAATTTATTAATGGAATGGTTAAATTGAATAATCAAATGAAGTATCACCTTAAATTGCCATCAGTTAGATATGTTGATTTATAAATAATATACATAAATATATATATAGATACAATTAATATTTAAATTACTATTTCTTTATTCAAAGTAAGATTTATAAAAATATCCCATTAAAATAAAATCATTTGAATATTTTAAAAATGACTTGTGCAATTAAACCTTTCATCATATAATCTACGCTAGTAGAATATATTTTTTTTTTAAAACTAAAAAATTTCAAGATTTATAATAAATAATTAGATTAATTATGAAATAAGAAGATGTAAAGAATCTTGAACTTAGTGATATTGAGATAAATTATCAAATAAATTATTCCCTCAATAAAAATAAAGACTCTTTAATATAACATTCATCAAATGGTGTTATTACTGAGCTTAGGAGCTTTAAAGACTACTAAACAATCATAAAAATTAAACCTATTATATAAAATAACAAGATGAATTATTATATTCATTTTGATATAATGTCAGAGATTTCTAATTATATAAACAATAAAGATATAAACTTGAGAATGTGTACAATCTCTTTTGAACAATAATAATAGTTCTAATAGAATTAAATGTAGTTTTAATTAATATATGCAATTACTTTCGAATATGGTTTCCAAATTAAAGAAAATCCAATTGATTAAGCCATAATTTAAATTAGCTCTCGAATAGATAAGATATGTATTGAAACTTATAATAATGGGGATATCAATCTAATATAATAAATAGATGAGCTATTCGAATAATTTTAAGAATTTCTTAACTGAAATTGTTTATATATTAATATGAGTTAGTGATATTCATTTTTTCATTAAGATTTCCATAGCCTTTTAAATCTCAATATTTGCATCTAATTATGGAGCAACATATTTCTATCTGTAATTTTCACCAGGTTTTCTTTCAAATTTAGTTTCATTAAATTTAGGTCTTAATTCATCCTCAGTGGAAACTAAAATTTATATATATATATACTTTATTTTGTCCTCTTGTACAATTCTTTTACTTATCTTTGTTAGGTTGCTTATCCAACATTATTTGTTTATTATTACAATTTTGATTTTTTAAATTCTATAAAATCCTAATACTCATTATCATCAATTATTTTTTATTGTTTTTTTGCTGCCTCCTTAAATCTAATAAATTCTAAATATTCCTAGTCTATTTACTATTCATCGTTCTTTTATACAGTTGTCTTCTTTTATTCCTTCAGACTATTCTATAAAGGTAAAGGAGGTCTTGACGGTTTCTACTATTATTGGTAAGGATTGTTAAGACTTTCTTAAGCTTATTAAGGGTAATTTTACTATTAATAATAGTCATATTAATCATAAGAAGGTTATTAATAATTATATTGATATGGTTATTAATAAACTTATTACTATTATGGAGGAAATGCATTTGGATATTGATATGGAGATGGATAATATTGTTATTATTATTAATATTGTTATTAAATTGGATATTGAGGAGGATTTGGTAAATGCTAATGTGATGTTGGAATGTAATTCTATTCTTTAAAAGAGTTTCTTCTTCTTTAATTATTGTATTATTCTAAATAGGGATCTGGAATAATCTCATCATATGACCTTTTCCTTTAATAATTATATTATTAAGGAGGAGGAGGTAATTATTAATTATTTGGTTAATGATGAGGATTTGCATATTAGTATTAATAAGGATTATATTATTATTGTTAATGTTCTGGGGGGTAATAATTGTCATAATAGTTTTAAATTTGGGGTTTAGGGTTTTATAATAAATTAAGTGCATGCTTAGCATTATCAATTTAACATTAATGCCTTTGAATTTTATCATAATAATTAGGTTGTGGTTAATATGGAATTTGAATATTATTTTAATAATAATATTCAAGAGGGTTATGATAATTTTATTGGCTTTTTGAACCTCTTTCTATTTATGCATAACTTGAAAAAGCATTATACTTTCGAAATTCATTAAATTCATCTTTAGGTGGTTATTATTACTCTTCCTCTTCTTCTTCTTCTTCTTCCTCCTCTTCTTATTCACTTTCCAATTCTTAACTGTCTTCTTCACTCATTTTTAATTTGAAAACTAAAAATTGATTAAAATAATATAAAAAATAAAAGATTAGAATTTATATAATCTAATTCAAGGGGATGTTATACTCTAATTATTTCCTACTTTCAATAAAAATAGTGTTAATCCGTTATATTCAAGAACCTTAATGATAGGGGGGGGGAAGGAGTTATATTCAAAATAATATAATAATGAATTAAAATATACCATAGAGATTTGTGTAAGTTTATAATTTCATATTAATAAATTATGAAAAAATTGATGAAACATTTAAGAGACTTTATAAGAATGATGTAATTTAAATAATAATATAGCTATCTTTTTTTGTTTATAGTATTTTATAAAATTCAACAAATAAAATACATTTGTAAAACTCTTATATTATTATAATGAGTATTGAGAAATTTATTAATTAAACAAACACTTAAATTATACAAATAAATTTTCATTTTAATATCTCCATAAAATTAAAATATAATTAATGAAATAGTGAGTATTACATAATTATATTTCAATATTCAATTTCATTTTAGTTTAATAATTTGAATAGGATAAAAATGTCAAAAGAAGTTGTAATCATGGAGCATAATGTAAATTAAATAAAGCCAACTTATCAAAGATGGTTAGTTTTATTCTCTTATTCAATAATTGCGTAATAGAAATTAATAAAGCTATAGAATGGCTAATGTTATGCAATTAGTTAGTTACAGTCCTATTTGGGAATAGGCAGCAATATATTATGGAATCCCATCACAAGACTTATAATGGATAGGGAATATGTATTATATCACATTTTTTGTCTTGGCTCCATTTTGCATAAAGCCTTTATTAGTAAGATTGGATATAAGTATGCATTTAATTGGCATTATAAGTGCAATAGGGTAAGATTTATAGAATATAAATTGAAAGGGCATGGATAATATGGATTGGAGGATAATCATATTTTATGACAATGATAGGTTTATTTGTGATAGGAATTAGTGATGCTATGATTTTAATAGTCCCAGTTTGTAATTTTAATTGTAAATAACAAAGTTCTCTCTGAAAAATGGTTTACTGTATATGAGAGATTATTGGCAACTAGTTTAGGTAGTTTCTTTTAATATATTGGAATGGCATTTGCATATGGATTTTCTTCATTTTATTTTGATATTTTGGATGAATAGAGTATTATAAATAGGAAAATTAATGAAATGAATTTGATGATTGCAATATTTAATACAGTTGGAGCAGTTCTTCTTTTGATGTTTTTTAGAAATAGACCTCCTCATCCAGCATCAAATTCAGATGTATCAATTATATTGGTATATAAAGAATATAGTTAAAGATACTATTTGGAAATCTACAGTGAAGATGCTTACAATGGAGGAATCTATAATTGATTTATTATCTTTAGGAATCTGTAAATATATTAAATTATTAAAAGTTATTGGATTGGGTTGGGTTTACACAACTATTATATCTTTTGAATTGTATCCTTTTGGTTATACTCAAGTAATTAATTTATTAGTAAAAATTTAAAGGGAGAAGTTGCAATTAATGGAACAATTTATTAAATATCAGGAGTAGCTGTGGGTTTATGGGCATCAATAAAATTAGATTCTTAAGCTAAATAAGGAAAATAACCTGATTATGATAGATATATTAAGATTTTTACAAGCATAGGAATGATCAGTTTGATTTTAGAAGCATTTATCATAGAATATTTAGATTATTGGATGCTGATTTTCATTAATTTTGCTATGGGTGTTGGTCTTAATTCTTTTTATCCTATAGCAATATAATCATATGTTGAAAAATTATACCCTGCATCAGAATTAGTTTTAGTTACTGGATTGTTATGTTTGGCAAATGTATGTTTTATAATTAAATATATAAGATGGTTGGATTTGTATTGAATTACTTAATTGTTTTACCAGAATTTGAATAATTTGGATTGTGGATGGGATGTTTAATAATAACTCCAGGATATTTATATATCTTGTTAAATTATAAAACAAAATATAGAAGGTTTGAATAAGAAATTTGATATTATTAATTAAATATATTAGTTTTTTGTATAAATGGAAAATAAAACAATGAGATATTTTGGAATGAGCTTAAACGTTTTAATTTCTGTTTTTCTTGCTATTGTGGAGTGTATCATCAATTAAGTTTCAGATTCAATAATAATAGACATTGTTTTAATAATATGTGGGGCCTTTTTCTCATGGATATTTATTACTCAATAATTAGGATGGAAGAAGGGTATACTTCAATATTACCTTTAGGAGATATATCACCTTTTTTTTATTGGACTTTGGCAATAAAGAGAATAACTCTGGTTGGAATACACAGAAGTGAATTCATTTATTTCTTATTTGGTTTTTTAAATGGAATTTATTCAAGTAAATTAGATGTTAAAGACTAAAAGAAGTATTATTAAAAAACTAAAACTGCTTTTCAAGTAATATTGATATTAGTTTTAATAATTTTCAATTCTTTAACAAATACAATTCAAAATCAAATAGTTTTAATAGTTTTTAATATAGGTCTTCTTGTTCTATTAGGTATATATGATAATATTGAAATATATCCAAATAATACAAAATAAAATGATTATAATACAGATTAAAGGAATACTTAAGCAGAATTAAAAAAGTGTTAAACAATTATTTAATAATTTCAATAAACAAAATCAATATGGGAATAATATATTAAATAAACAGATGATTGGATTTGTAAAGTTGACATAACTAAATTTTTATTTAATCGTAGTTGGGAAAGTAGAGAATAAAGTTAAGCTTTATAAAAATTTTTAAAAGAGAATAAAATGAATATATAACAATTTTTCAATCATCTTATTATTGTAAATTAATAATCATCAAATACATCTCAATCAATAATTACTTAATTTGAATTAGATGAAAGTAATACATTATTAGCATGGATAGAAAAGAACTATTTATAAGATAATTAAAATTAGAAATAAAATGTACAAAAATTAAAATAGTATTAAGATGAATAAGATTAAAATTAATAAAATTAAGAAGATTAACCTTCAATTATATCACCTTAAAATGATGGGAAACCTATGTTTTACAAGGATAGATCTCAAGATCTTTCTGGATTATTAGCAATTCCAATTAATATGGATTAATTAGGACCTAGTAATAAAATATATTTGTAATGTTAATTAAATCTGAATTCAATTATATATAATTTAAGTTTATTTATATTTTTAGTTGATGATGATAAAAGTAATGAATAGAAATAATAGTCAATTATTATTCAAATCAAAAATATTAATAAATTAATAAAGAATGAAATGTTAGAATAAAAAAGTTCTATATTTTATAAATATATTGGTAGAATGGCAAATCTTTCAAGTTAAATGTTAAAACAAGTTGATCTAATAAAATAGTCCCTTTAACTACATTTAAAGTATGTATCATACATTAAATAAAAGAGAATTTGATAAGATCAGACAAAGCAATTATAATTCTTTATCATTTTGTGATGATAATGCATTTGTTAAATCAGACAAATAAATTGGAGACTTTAAATAAGTACTTTTGAATGTTAGAACCCAAACCCCAATTTAAAGTGCCTATGTAAAAGTTACATCATCTAATAGCCATAATCATGAGAATTAAGATGAGAACTTGTAAAAATTATCAATTATTTATTTATAATAATCATAGGAATTACTTAAATAAGTAGAATAATTAACCTTCGATTTATTAATTATAGAATAAAATAATTTTAATTTTTTTGAATTATTTAGTAATCCTTAATTAAAGATTGAATAATTTAATTTATTAAAGACATTTAATATTGTAATAGATATTTTTAAAAAACATTAAATCTTAAATTAGAATAATATTATTATTACTTAAGAATTAGATGATGAAACATAAATGATAATTTAATCTGACAGAAGAAGAATGAAATAAATATTGATCAATATAATTAATAATTCTATAGAAAATTTTGATCTTATTTAAAAAAAAAAACAAAAAGAAAAAAATGAAAATTTATAAATTCATAAAAGTTTGATTATTTAGGAATAAGAATTAAAACCTTAAAATTCAATTATTATTAAATTGTAAAGTGATGCTGATAAAATTACAATAGAAATTTAAGATAATGGAGGTGGTATAGATTAAGAAAGGTTAAAAAATAGAGTAAATGAATGTAAATTTGGATTAGCAGCTTGTCAGAAATAATTAAAATATTTGGCATATGATTCTAAAAAACCTTTGGAAATCATAAATAATTTAAAAAGTTCAAATGAAGTTGAAGGTAGTATTGTAAAATTTTAACTACCAAAAACAAGAGATAATTTTTATTTAAATGATGATAGCAAATAATCAGAATCCTTAAGAATAAGTTAAAGAATAGGCCAATTTTGATCATATACTTATAATTGTATTATTCTATTTTTTAGATAATATAAATCCCATTAATAAATTAACAATCTTAATTATATATTTATTTTTTAAATAATAATTATTATTATTTATTCATTTTTAATATTGTTTGTTTTATGTAGAAATAATAAATTATAATATTAATTAATTAATCAAAAGACAAGCATTTGATAACACTCATAAATGTTCAATATTAAAGTGTTTATAAATTTTAAGATGGTCGTTTTTCAATTCTAATTTTTGATACCTCTAAATATTTTGGTAAAGAGAACTTTTTTCTTATAGAATTAAATTGCTTTTTATCTTAACCTTATAAAAGATTACACATTTCTTTAGCACATGTTCTAATTTCAATTTCATTTAAACCAGTTATTGAAACCATTTAATCTTAACTCCAAGATGGATGAATTCTTCTAATTTTATGAACTAAATAAATAGCTGCACTAGCTAATACATTATTAGAATATTAAATCATTGGATATTCTAATAAAGACAATTCTATTAAATATCTAAAGATTATATTAATATATACCTGCAAAGCATAAAATTTTTTTATTCTAATTTTGCTGTTTCTTAATATATATTTAACATTCTATAAGGACTAGTAGTTAATAAATCAAAGGAGAGTAATGAAATGATTTTTCCTTCTGCTTCTAGTATTTCTTCTTTAGGATATGCATTATCACAAACATAAACTAAATCTCTTACATGAGGAACAGAGTATACTTCTTCATATTTTGATGCTATAAACAATGCTGCAACTCCATATAATTAAAATTTAGATTTTGGTATCTGATGTAATTCAAGTACTCTCAAATTTAGGTTATAAATACCTATCAACAATTGATATTGTCATAAACAATGTTTCTGGGTCTAATTTGAATTTATGATGTACATCTACTAACCAATCTAGTAGAATACTACGCATTTTTTCTGTGATTTCTGTTTAAAATTGAAAAGCAATCATTTTGAAATTAGATTTACACTAAATTAAGATTATTAATTACACTTCTATCTCTCATATATGTAACAATTTCATTTTTATATGTATTTACTATTTGAGGATTTTCAATTTTTAAAGGTATTTAAAATGTTTTATTATTTAAAATTGTTGTGACTCCACTTGTAATACTAAGATTTCTTCCATTTCTTAAAGGTATAGGCATATTTGAATCTGTTTTAACTCTTTAAATAACTTCTCTAGTTCTATTGCTCTATTCTTCATTTAATTTCAATTGTGGTTTTTAAGGAGGCATCATAGAATGAAATGAATTTGATGACTTTTCTCTGATGGCTACAGATGATTATACTCTTTAATGTTTAGGTCCACAATAAAAATTTTCTTTTTCATAATCTGCAACACAAAATAGTCTTGGAATTTAATGTGCTTTCATTTTGAATATAAATTATTTAACTGAAAAAATACTATTTAATTTAAAGAATAATATTTATTTTTTGGATTTCATATATTTATATATGTATATATTTTTTTAGTTCAAATAACTTTTACTTTTAATAAAAATAATTATTTTAACAATTAATAATCTGCCTATTGATACATATCAAGTTAAATATAATTTTTTAATTTATTATCAATATTAATATTTTAAATATCATTCATTCTCTATTCCTAATAATATATTGATTTTCTTAGAATTTGTATTTAAGTAGGAATAAAGAATTCATATAAAATAATAAAAAATGTTTGGCTAATCTTTTGATTATATTTAATATCAAATTTAAGAAGAATAAAATAGATTAATCTGATAAATAGTTAATGATAGTGAGTATTAATTATATGTTGTTTACCTGATGAATTTTATTCAAATTAAAATGTTAATTAAATATGTAATAAATCGAATAGGATCAATAAAAGGAGTAAGAAATTACTCAAAATGAGATGCCTGATTTAATTATCAATCCTTATGAAGTGGTAAACAATTCCAAGAAGTAAATTGACTACGATAAGTTGATCCAATCATTCGGTTGCTAGAGAATTGAACAAAGTCATATTGAGCGCATATAGACCTTAACTTAAAAACCTGTTCATCATTATCTTAGACGTGGCATTTTCTTTTCACATCGAGACTTAAACCAAGTATTAGATGCCTATGAAGCTGGGAAAGGGTTCTATTTGTACACAGGTAGAGGACCTTCTGGAGATTCAATGCACGTGGGTCATTTGATGCCATTTATATTTACTAAATATTTATAGGAAGCTTTCGATGTACCTGTTGTGATTGAATTATCAGATGATGAAAAGTTTTTCCATAAAAGTGAAACAACATTGGAAGAATATCAACGATATGGATATGAAAATGCTAAAGATATAATAGCATGTGGATTTGATATAAACAAAACATTCATTTTCTTAAGTTCTAAATATGCAGGTCATATGTATCATAACATTTGTAAATTTTAACATGCAATAACCTATTCATAATTAAGAGGAATATTTGGTTTAAATGAATCTGATAATTGTGGCAAAGTAGCATATCCTGCTGTTTAAGCTGCTCCATCCTTGTCTTCATCATTTAAACATATATTTGGCAAGGATGAGGTGATGTGTTTAGTACCATAAGGAATAGATTAAGACCCTTACTTTAGAATGACAAGAGATGTATGTTATAAACTTAAAGTTCCTAAAACAGGATGCATACATTCACAATTCCTTCCAGGACTTCATGGATTTGGTACTAAAATGGGAACTACAGATCCAACCTCAGCTATATTTTTGACTGATACTCCAAAATAAATTGAAGAAAAAGTTAATATTTGATTAATTTATTTTAGATTAAGAAACATGCTATGTCTGGAGGTGGTATGACCAAAAAGGAACATTAAGAAAAAGGTGCTGATCTTACTGTGGATGTTCCATATCATTATTTAAGATTCTTCTTAGAAGATGATGCTCGTCTTGAAGAAATTAGAGTTCAATATGGAAAGGGTGTTATGATGACAAGTGAAGTCAAGAAAGAATTAATTACAGTTCTTACAAAAATAGTGACTGAACATTAATAGAGAAGAGCTCTTGTGACAGATGAAATGGTTGAAAAATTTATGGAATTAAGACCTTTAAACAATTATCCACCTAAAAAGAATAATTGAGATTGAGATATAATAAAATAAAAATATTATTATTAAAAATGCTCACTGGTAGAGAAGAATTAGATAAAATAAATACAAAAGTATAATACTTAATTATTATTTCTAAGAGTGGAAAAGGAAATGCTGAAAGTTAAGAATTACCTTAATATCTAAGATCTTCATATTCTCAAACATATTAATAATTAGAACCAACTAAAATTATAAAAGGAAAAAAGGTAATCTAATAATAATGAATTTTTTAAGGTTTTTCCATAATTTGCTTATGGAAATTCACATGAAGCTCCAACTTATTTTAAATTATCGAACTCTTTAATCTGTCGAGAAAGTTATGACAATCCATACATTAAGACTAAAGTGCCTCCTTTAAGTAGATTAGATTCTCTTAAAGGGAGTACTCTTAATAATTATGAATTTTATAATATTTCTGAATAGAGATTTATAAATAAAATACCTACAGGTTATGTTACTAATAAAATAACAGAGTATAAAATTAATTTCAACATTAAGTACGATTACAAATTAAGTTAAAATTGTACAAAAACCATTAAATGATGAAAAAGACAAAATTCTTACATTTGAAAGTGCTTATAAATCTATTTAAGATTAATTATTCAATAAAAAACGTGGTATCAATTACTATTTAATAATCAGAGCTTTTCACTGATTTTGTTGAGAAAAATGATTTACTTAATGTATATGGGCCATTAAATATGAGAACAAGACCAAAAGAATTTAGAGAAGTCAAAAATTATGCTTTAGATCCTAATTAACTTAAATTATTGAAAGAATAAAGATCAAGATAGTAAATAACTCCAACAAATAGAAGTGGTTTCACTGATCTTATTAAAACTGTACGATTACCTACAATATCTAAAATTTAAGGGTTGGATACAGATAAATACTATAACAAAGATTAAAATTATCTCAATAAATTAACTAATTCAATTATTATAGAAAAAATTGATTAAAATATTAAACATAAAAATAAAACTCTTTCTAATTTCAATAAAAATAAACATTCGATTAAACATAATACAGAAGATACTGAAAATATGTAAGGAATTATTGATATATTTGAGAAACATTTAGAATTCGAAAAATAATATAATTGTTGAAATATATATAATTAAATTATACATTTAATTCAAAATTGATCTATATATTAACTTAATTGTTCTTTTAATTTTTATATTTTAATGTCCTTTTTATCTAATGCTTCTTATACTATAGATTCAAATTTAGTAATATCTGTGTAATGTTATTATTTCAAATTTTAGAGTTTCTCTTCATAATACTATTTTAATTATTGATTTTAGAATTTTAGTTATTCAATCTTTTCATATGCAATTTTCTTTTCTTCTTCTAAATTCATTAATAAAGTTTCTATCTAAACTAATTTATTGCTGAATTCTTCAGACTATTAAAGAGATTTACAATTTTCATCTTATAAAAAATGAAGTTATTCAATTAATTCATTTTAATTTTCTTAAGGTTCTTATTTTTAATATTGTGCTAATTATAACTATAAATCTTTTTTATCTTATAAAATCTTATCTATAAAAGTTACATACTCTTATAAAATAGATTAGAATTCATTTTTTTATTTCAATAAATCAGCCTCTAATTTAGACTTCCTAATTAAATATATTGTAAATACATTTCCAATTTCATTTAAATAATTGTTTCTTTAAGTTTACGATTCTCTTAAATCAAATTATTTTCTTCTGTTAAATATGGTTATGCTCTTTTTGTTTACATTTAAGGTACATCAACAGATATTTCTAAATTTTCATCTGTAGGATGGGATTCCCATAATTATTATGTTAATTCTTAATAAAACTTTTGATCATTTGAAAATTAACCTTTTGGAATAGAAGGATGAGTATCTGGACACTTTTTTTTTTTTAATTAGGAATACATTTATTATTTCAGTTAAAAAAAATTATGTATAATAACATCAATCTCTTCTCAACACATTTTTCAGAATTATAAAGATCTTCTATTTTTTCTAATCTGGCTCTGCGTTGTGAATATTATAATACTTTTCTGTAATCCACTTTATAATCTTTTAAGTATTTACAAAATGAATAAGTTTCAAGTCCATCATTTTACTATTTTATAATACTCATTATAGCAGCTAAACATTCAGGATTCTTTCTACCAACTAAGATAGCCAGATTAGAATTTATCATTACATTCAAAACACCATGTCTATGATATCTTTCTATTTATTATATTAATCGACCACCAAAAATTTAGGCTTGTAAATCAGTTAAATTATGTTATCTTAAGGCTAATCGATAAATATCTGACTTTTTATATGAAAGACAATCTTTTAAAAGATTTAATGAATAAACATCATTTAATAATTTAAATAAGGATGGAAGGTACCTTTCTTAATAATGAGCTTTTTTCATAAATTCTAATATAATTGTAGGTAACAAATCTTTAAAGATATGTTAATCTTAATATTAGAAATTTAAGATTTCATTTATAATTTTTAATGGATTGTCTTTGATTTTTTTTTTTAAATATCCATTTAATCTTTATTTAAGTTTTTCATTAGTAATTACAGCATATGAATGAAGAGGATGAAGAAATGCATTTTCTTCAGTGACAAAGGAATCAACTTCTTATCCACATATAAATCTTAAATATAAAAGACCATTTTCTGGGAAAGCAAATTTACAAACTTAATTTACATAATCAGAAAACACAGTAACTTTTAATCTAGAATTAATTGTTATATTTAATTTGCATAAAGATAATATAATATGTGCTACTTTATTTGCTTATTAAACTGAATGTAAATGAGTTTCTAATTATAATCTTTATATAATTTCATCAATTAATTTTTCAATTTCTTATGGTGTACAAATTGATTTTAGATTCATTAAAAATTATTAAATAAAGTTGACTGATATTTTTTATGGTCTTAAATTTAATTATTTAAATAAAAACTCTTTAATTTTAATTTCTAAAACAGGAGTAACTTCAAGAGGCAATAATTAAAAATTAGTTATTATTGATAATATAGTATGTTCATCCATTACATTTAGATTGTCAATTAAGAATTATCTCATTTTTAAGAGAATAGGATGTGATTATAAATATGGATTTAAGTATTAATATTTCATCTTAAGTAACATTATATAAAATTAAGTGACTTATTAAAAATCATAATAAAGTGAATTTGCATCATAATGAGAAATACAGAATTCAACTAAAGAAGTATTTACAAATTTCCTTTTCTAAGATTTCATCATTTCACATCTTATTAAAAGAACAACCTCCATAGATGAAAGAGGTTCTGTATTTAATCGATCTTCAACTAATTAATGAATAGCTGGTAAAGACATATTTAAAACTTAAGAGTCATACCATATATTTATGTAATGTCTAATACTAAAATCATTACAATCTTATAATATTTTATTTAATTAATTGGCTAATTTTTTATCATCAATATTTTCTAGCAAATATTATTGACCCTTTAATTAATATTTAGATTTAAAACAAAGCAATTCAAGCAAATCTATTGGACTAAATTAATCTAGTTAATTATTTAATAATTTTGATATTTCTCCCATTCCTTAACGAAATATAGTTTCATTTTCATATATTTTTAAAGAATTTAAGAAATGTGCAATAATACGAATTGTAAGTAATGAATGTTATAGTCCAAATATATTTTTATTCTTGTTAAATATATCTATCAAGATTTTAGGATCTACATGTTAACTAATCAATGCCATTAATTCTTATTCATTTTATACAACCTTCACATCCCCTTTTGGAAAATCAAATATATCAATGTCACTATCTGATTCATTCTCAAAACCATCTCGTAATACAAAATTAATTAAATTGGTATGAGTAGAAAATCTCCATTTCAATAATGTTTTAAAAATTATCATAAATATTTTTATTATTTATTTTTCATTAAACAACAATTGTATTATTTTCTAACTAACTCTAATACTGATTCTACAATTCTATTTAAACCTTCCCAAGCAATAGCTTTTCTCTATTTATCGATCAGATTTGATGAATATCTCAAATTAACCTAATTTTTGAAATCGAAAATAAAGGTTTTGATTCAATTGACTTTAAAATCTAGTCCATTATATTTATATATTATAATCCTTAATTCTAACAATAATTTTAGGTAATAATATTTTTTCTGATTATATAATTTAATTATGGTACATCATTAATTTTGTAATAAAAATCTTTCAATATTATGTTTTAGTGATTACTTGATTGAATTTATTCTTCTCTGAAATTTCTTTAGAATAATAATAAAATCTTCCTGATTTATATAGAGGAAAGACATATGAAAAAGCAAATGCTACATTACAATTTGTCTTATTCATTTAAAAAAATGTCCAATAACTAGGATTATTAATATTTTTTGCAGATCCTTAATAGAAGAGTACAACATAATTGTCATTCAAAAATCTATTAAATTGATCTTATATTAAAATTTCTGTTGGACCCATTGACTAACTAAAAATATTATAGATTTTATTTATATATACCTAAAAATGCATTAAAGTAAAGAATCCGCACTTCTTTATCCAGTAAATTGAAAAGGCTTGCTATAGATAAAAATATGAAAGTAAGGAAACATGAGATTTTGAATTATTAATGAGCATATTTATCTAGGTCTTGTTATTAATCATAAGCAACTCTAGCAATAGAGTTTTGATGCCATATTTGTAAGTTGTGGAACAAATTATTTACATGGAGCACAAAAAATTGCATAGAATTCAATTAAAATTGCAGGATGACCTTGATATTAAAGTATCAATTTTATTAGATAAAGCAATAATTGGTTATATTATTTGTTAGAGTGTTTTAACAATTTTTAGATTTTCATTTTAGACTGTTTTATCTGTAGGGTCTTATGTTAAGAGTAAATGTATGAAACAGAATATTAAGTTAAATTTCATTATTATTAAATTCATGAACAAAGTTGAAGATTCTACAACAAAATTATTGCAAACAGATATATTGCAAATAGAGTAAGGGAAGGAAAGTATTTAAATAGCTGAAGAGAAAGGAAGTAATTCATGGAAAGAGAAAATGAAATCTTTTTTGGTTGTACCAATATAGAAATGTAGTCGTAATATATGTTTGAATGGACAATGCATACCAATAAATGAATAAAGTAATGTGATCAAGAATTCTAAATACAATTTCTTTACATTTCTACCAAAAGTGCTATATTAATAGTTTCATTAATTCATTAACATCTTTTATTTGGGATTGACAATATCACAATTTATTTAACCTTTCAAAGTTGGATTTCTTATAGGATATTTAGGACCTCTAGCTTTGGTGGTCACTCTGAGTGTTCTAAAAGAATTGTATGATGACATTAAAAGACATAAAAGAGATAGATAAATTAATAGTACAATATATAAGCGTTATATAAATGGTTAATGGGAAGATATATCAAGTGGTTAATTATAGGTAGGGATGATTATAAAAATAAACAGTAATTAACGTATACCAGCAGACATTTTAGTATTGGAAGCAAGTGATGATTAAGTATTTATTCGTACAGATTAATTGGATGGTGAAACAGATTGGAAATTAAGGAAACCTGTTTAATATATTTAAAAGAAAGGATTAGAGAATTTAAATTTATCTTCATGTTCATTGAATTGTGATCGTCCTTAAGAAAATATATATGATTTTCATGCTGTTTTTTAATGTGAATAATCAAAAGAACCATTATCATTAGAAAATGTTATGTGGNACAACATAATTGTCATTCAAAAATCTATTAAATTGATCTTATATTAAAATTTCTGTTGGACCCATTGACTAACTAAAAATATTATAGATTTTATTTATATATACCTAAAAATGCATTAAAGTAAAGAATCCGCACTTCTTTATCCAGTAAATTGAAAAGGCTTGCTATAGATAAAAATATGAAAGTAAGGAAACATGAGATTTTGAATTATTAATGAGCATATTTATCTAGGTCTTGTTATTAATCATAAGCAACTCTAGCAATAGAGTTTTGATGCCATATTTGTAAGTTGTGGAACAAATTATTTACATGGAGCACAAAAAATTGCATAGAATTCAATTAAAATTGCAGGATGACCTTGATATTAAAGTATCAATTTTATTAGATAAAGCAATAATTGGTTATATTATTTGTTAGAGTGTTTTAACAATTTTTAGATTTTCATTTTAGACTGTTTTATCTGTAGGGTCTTATGTTAAGAGTAAATGTATGAAACAGAATATTAAGTTAAATTTCATTATTATTAAATTCATGAACAAAGTTGAAGATTCTACAACAAAATTATTGCAAACAGATATATTGCAAATAGAGTAAGGGAAGGAAAGTATTTAAATAGCTGAAGAGAAAGGAAGTAATTCATGGAAAGAGAAAATGAAATCTTTTTTGGTTGTACCAATATAGAAATGTAGTCGTAATATATGTTTGAATGGACAATGCATACCAATAAATGAATAAAGTAATGTGATCAAGAATTCTAAATACAATTTCTTTACATTTCTACCAAAAGTGCTATATTAATAGTTTCATTAATTCATTAACATCTTTTATTTGGGATTGACAATATCACAATTTATTTAACCTTTCAAAGTTGGATTTCTTATAGGATATTTAGGACCTCTAGCTTTGGTGGTCACTCTGAGTGTTCTAAAAGAATTGTATGATGACATTAAAAGACATAAAAGAGATAGATAAATTAATAGTACAATATATAAGCGTTATATAAATGGTTAATGGGAAGATATATCAAGTGGTTAATTATAGGTAGGGATGATTATAAAAATAAACAGTAATTAACGTATACCAGCAGACATTTTAGTATTGGAAGCAAGTGATGATTAAGTATTTATTCGTACAGATTAATTGGATGGTGAAACAGATTGGAAATTAAGGAAACCTGTTTAATATATTTAAAAGAAAGGATTAGAGAATTTAAATTTATCTTCATGTTCATTGAATTGTGATCGTCCTTAAGAAAATATATATGATTTTCATGCTGTTTTTTAATGTGAATAATCAAAAGAACCATTATCATTAGAAAATGTTATGTGGGCTAGTACAGTACTTGCAAATGGTAATGTAAATGGGATAGTTATATATAATGGATTTGAAACAAGAATGGCCATGAACAGTAGATAACCTCAAACAAAGTTTGGTAAAATTGACAGTAATCTATATTCCATAAATATTTAGCTGAAATCAATTATATGTCAATTATGCTTTTTATAGCAATGGGATTCTTATCAATAATGATTACAATATTATCATAACCTCCTTTAAATGCTTTGGCCATATGTGTAGCCATGGTTCGATATCTAATTTTACTCTCAAATATTATTCCCATTTCCATGAGAGTCAATGTAGAATTTGCTAAATTAATATATTGTTATAAAATATCAATAGATAAAGGTATAGAAGGTACAATCCCTAGAAATTCTAATATTCCAGAATCTTTAGGTAGAATAGAATATTTACTTACAGATAAGACAGGAACCTTAACATAAAATGATATGATATTCAAAAAATTGTCATTAAAATAGAATGTATATACATATGAAAATTATGATGAAATGAAGAGGAGTTTATTGACTTAATTTGAGATAGGTAATTCAGAAGAAGATGCAATTTTAAGAGACTTATTGTTAGCTATAGCATTATGCCACAATGTTACTCCAATAGAAGAAAATGGAGAAAGATAATATTAAGCCTCATCTCCAGATGAAGTTGCATTGGTTAAGATAGCTGAATCTCTTGGAATTACTTTATTGAGTAGAGATCAAAATTCTATGATTATAGAATACAATGGATAAACTAAAAGATATGAAATTCTATATAATTTTCCCTTCTCTAGTGAAAGTAAAAGAATGGGAATTCTATTGAAATTAGATAACCTATATATATTTTATTTAAAAGGAGCAGATGCAATAATGAAATAATTTCTACCAGAAACTTAACGTGGATTTGTAGATGAAGAATGTGAAAATTTAGCAAGAGAGGGATTAAGAACACTAGTATTAACTTAAAAGATAATTACTAAGGAGTTTTTTGAAGATTGGAAATAAAAGTTTGAATAAGCTTAATGTATTGAAAATGTAACTTAGAGATAAAATAAATTAAGTAGAGTTAGAAAAGAATTAGAGAATCATATGTAATTCTTAGGAATAACAGGAGTTGAAGATAAATTATAGGAAGATGTTTGTTCAACTCTAGAAAATATCAGAAATGCTGGAATTAATGTTTGGATGTTAACTGGAGATAAAATTGAAACTGCTATTTGTATAGCAATATCAAGTGGAATTAAATCTGCAACATAAGAGATTTTTTTACTTAAGGAAATAACAGATGAAGAAACTTTATAATAAAGATTATAATAATTTGAAACTAGAACCAATCAATTATTGGTTATTGATGGTACAAGTTTAACTACAGCATTTAAAAAAGAAGAGTTCTTCTTTAGAATTGCTACTTAAGCCTAATCAGTTGTTTGTTGTAGATGTTCTCCAACACAGAAAGCATTAGTAACTGAATGTATAAAAAAATACACTCATAAAATTACTGCCTGCATCGGAGATGGTGGTAATGATGTAGGAATGATCTAATCAGCTGATGTAGGAATAGGTATTGAAGGAAAAGAAGGTAAATAAGCAGCTTTAGCTAGTGATTTTTCTATTCTTAAATTTAAATACTTAAACTCTTTATTACTTTGGCATGGCAGATTATCATATAAGAGATCTGCTTTATTGTCTTAATTTGTAACTCATAGAGGATTAATTATTTCAATGATTTAAACAGTTTTTATGTGCATCTACTTTTATTTAAGTATTAGTATTTTCAGTAGTACATTAATCTTGGGATATGCTACAATCTATACGTAATTATTTAATATTAATTAATATTAGAATGTTTCCAGTATTTAGTATTATATTTGATGAAGATGTTGTAGAAAAAGTAGCATTGGAATTTCCTCCACTTTATAAATCATTACAAAAGAGTAGAGATTTAAATTAGAAGACATTTATGATTTGGTGTTGGAAAGCTACATATTAAGGAACCTTAATAATGATTTTAGCTTAATTTTTGTATAAGAATGTTTTCTTATATATTGAGACAGCTGCATTCACATCATTAATTATTACTGAATATTGTATGATTTTTAGTGAAGTATTATTGTAATTTACATATTATCTAGCTTAATTCATTACATATTGTAATGTTCATATCAACAATTGGTTCCACTGTATTTTATGTATTGACAATGGTTCTTATTCCAGAAACTTTAGTGGTTGCAGAAGTTCTAAATGGAACATTTTGGATAAACACTTTAATAATTGTATTATTTAGTTGGTGTCCAATATTTCTATTTTAATGGATTGTAAGAATTAAATAACCAAATGATTATGAGAAAATAATGAAATAAGTGAAAGGTAAGAAAAAAATAAAAACAAATCTATTCACTTGAATTCGATTTATATATATTTAATATTATATATATTGACTATTATAGAAATATATAATGGTATATCATTGTTATTATTCATTCTTAGAATAGCAAACTCAGTGGAAAGATTAAAAAGACACCTGTTGTATAGGAAATATAAAGTAATAATATCATTTTTAATCTAGGTAAACCAAGAACAGAAGAATAGATATAATCAGTTGTAAAAAATGTTAGAAATGGAGATGTCTCTCATCCAGAAGTTGTCTTAATTGGGGAAGCTGAATTATAAAGAATGAAAGTATTAGTTGTATTTTCTATATTTCCAGAATAATGCTATCATAACGACCAAAGAAGAATAATTATACTAGAAAAAATTACTTGAGGAATAAAAAGAGAAGTAAATGGCTGCTGCAAAAGCTAAAAAGCAAAAAATGTTACAAATGGAGGAAGAAAAGAAAAAATAAGTACCTCTTTCAACATAGTAAGAAGAAGATAAGGTAGTTAAAGATTCACTTATTGCAAGGGTAAATTATGATTTTTATTATTTGTTAGGCAGCAGAAATTATGAATGAATAGATGGATGATGTAAAGGAAATGAACAAAATGGTTATGTATGCAAAATGTGTAACTGTTCGAGATAAACAATTATAAGAGAAGAAAGAATTACATGAATAATATAAAGTATAAGAGAAACGTAAGGATTTAATGATGGAAATTGAAAGACTTAAATCTATCAAATATCATGAAGAAAAAGATAAATAAAGAAAAATTGAGTAAATACATGGTCATGATATTATTATTGAATAAATCAAAGAAAGAGAACTCATTCGTTTAAAAGATAAAGAAGAATAAGAAAGAGAAGGATAAATTATGCTTAAATAAATTAAATAGCTGTAATAAGAAGAATAATAGAAGGCTATGTAGAAGAAGATTACTTAATAAAAGGTTTAAGAAGAAATCTTAGAAGCAAATGATAGAGCTATTTTGGTTAAAGAGAAGAGAAAATTAGAAGAAAGAGAAGAAGAAGAAATGATTGTCAAATATAATTTATAAAAAGCATAGAAGGAAGCAGAATTATTAGAAGAATAAAGAAGAATCAAAGAAGAAAAAGAAAGAGAAGTATAAAGATTAAGAGAAATGCAAGAAAAAGCTTAAGATAGATAAGCAGAATTAGATGCATTAAGAGCAAAAAGAGCTATGGAATAAAATGAAAGATAAGCAAGAGAAAAAGAAAGAAAAGAAGCAGAATGGAAAATGAAATTAAATCATGAAGTTTAAGAAGCTAGAAAATTGTAATAATGTGAAAAATAAGAAAGATTAGAAGAATAAGTATATTAAATAATTTATATAATTTATTAGGCTAGATTAGAAAGAGATGAATTTTAAAGAGTAATATAGAAATAAAAATAAGAGAGAGAAAATGAATTGAAATTACATCATGAAAAAGAAGCATTAATTAAAAAACATGCTGATGAACTAAGAAAATAAATATCTCTTAATGAGGAAAAGAGAAAATAAGAAGAAAGAGATAAGTATTATATTTCATCTTAATATTTTTAGATTAGAAGAAGGTAAGAAAATAAGAGATAAAATGTTAAATGAAAAGAAATTATTAGAAAATATCAAAGAAACTAAACTTAAGACATTAAATGATAACTCAATCCCAGATAAATATAAAGCAGAATTAGCTCGGAAAAAAATTAATATATTAATTTGAACAAATTCATTATTCATCAATTTAAGTGGGTTCTTAAATATATGTTTCCTTTAGTGCATCCACTACTCTTTCGATTAATTCTTTCCATGTCTATGGTTTATATGTTTATAGATGATTTGCCAAATGATTAATTTTCTCTTCTAAATTTTCGATTCTTTAATCTATATAACATTTTTTAGGATCAGCAATTGCTCTGAATTAATGTTCTTCATCCATTACTTTAGGATAATTCCATAATTCAGGAGGTCTTCTCATTAAAACATATTGATTATCATAATCTTTTTTACGTAATTCATTAAATAATAAACTGGGATCATTTTATTATAATTATCTATTACGAATCCTAAAAAATATTAAATTAATTATTATACTTTGGTATCATACCTTCTTTGATGATTTCATCTTCAATATCTTATTAAACTGCTTTATTAATATGTCTAACTCTTTCTACACAATCTTCAAATATTTATCTATTTTCTTATGTACAATAAAAATCCCATAACCAATATCTTCCATATTTATGCATTAATGATTATTACTCCTTTTCTCTTGCTGTTTCTTCAGCCAATCTTTATTCTTCTTCTTTCTTTTTTTATTCTTCTTCCAATTATCTTTTCCTTTCTGGAGAAACATAAACAGTAGATTAAGCATTAGCCAAATTATCATCTTATGTACTTTATAATTATGAATGTTAAAGTTAGGTTTACTTCAATAAATCTTACTATTCTTATTTCTACTACTTTAAGTCATCCTCTTTTTTTCTATCCTTCCAAGCTCTCATATATAATATAGTATGATAAGCAATTAATTTTGGAATGCTTCCTTTAATACAATTGTCATCTTTCTTTTACAAAAATTCTCTAGCTTATGGATTTGCATTAAAAATAACACTTAATACATTATATACAAAGTTTATTTAATCTCTTTTAAGAGGAGATCCAAGTAAATGTTCACTAATCAATTCAGCCTTTATAACTTCATTAATATCAATTACAAATTACTAATAAATCTTAATTATATAATTACTTAATTATCTAATAAAGGGGCTTTGTAATAGTTTATTCCTTTGAGCATTAAGCAAAATAAATTCCTTCTCATCTTTTCAAATGCTTCTAAAAGTGGTTTTAAATAAAAAGATTCTATTTTATTAGTTTACCTAAAATTATAGAAATCTATAACTTACCAATTTTCATAACCTAATTTATTAAAAATAAGTTTCACATTAGGATTTGCTTTTATAGCTTATGTTTCAAGTAATATTCTTTCACATTCTTATAAACAAATACAATATTATTCGATATCTGCTTTTACTATAAAATCTCTTATCATCCTATCTCTATTTGTAGTATTTCTTAAATCAAAGAACATAAATTTCTTATTGATTTCCAAGAGTGCTCTCAATGGAGCTGTAACTTACATTAACCTCTCTTCAATAAGTTTATGACTTATTTTTATTAGAGTAGGCAATTTCTTAGTAAATTCATTCAATAGAGTCTATAAATTTTTTCTTTCAGCTTAATAATTTTCAGCATTCATTTCTAAAAATCTATGATCCTCCAAAGCTAAAAATTTCTTTTCTTAAATTACTTCTATAAATTTTAGCAAAAGCCTATTTCACATGGTTACCACGATCTTTATCTAACTTCTCTACAGAACAGTATATGCCATCAATATATTGTTTTATGATTTGCTTATTTATTTCAATGTCTTCTTATGCAAAGAATGCACTTCGGATATGAACATGATCAATGAACTTGAACTTAGGTTTACACTTAAAAACTTGGCATAATTCAAACAATTTGTTATGATATATCTATATAAGCATATAATTTACTTGCCAATTTCCTGTTAAATCTTTGGTTGTTTCAGAAATAACAGTATCTAAAGATTTTGAGATTATCCTAAGTTCATTCCAAACTCTAAATTCTTCACTTTCTTTCCATTTATCAAATTGTTCCTAAGATTTAAGTTGGCAATACTTATTGTAATTGAGGATCAATTTATTTAGGTTTTTTGGGAGGCATTATAAAATTTATTAAAAAAATATATATATTCGGCAGATGACTCATAATAAATAATTTCGTTATTATTAATTTTCATTTCTGTTTATTATTTTAGAATTTACAAGAAAATTGAGATTACTTGTATTATAATATTTTATTTTATCAATCTATTTCTCTAATTTATAAGAATCTCCTTATAATTTTATTGTGAATTTATAATGTTTTTATAAACATTTGGAATTTTCTACATTTATTAAATATCATTTTTTAATTAAATTTTTTTCATTATTATTATTATTTTATTAAATAAAATAGGATTTATATAATTACAGCAAAATTAGGTTTCTAAAAATAATTTATATATATATATATTCCAAATATACATTTTATTTTTATTATCAAATTCTCTTATAATATAGCTATAAAATTGAGTCTCTTAAACTCAAATTTTATAATTTAATTCACCTAATATATTTTATATCAAAATTATATGCTTAATACTTTAATCTTAAGTCAATTAATCCAAAAATTTTATAATATTATAGAAAATATCATTTCTTATGATAAATAAAATATTAATAGTATTTAAAATACTAAAATTTTTTATTTTTCTCATACAAAATAAATGTATTCCTAAAAATCTATATTTTATATGTCAATAGATATTCTAAACCATTTTGTTATGGGAATATCCTAAATATTAATAACTATTCTTTATAAAAAAGTATGGAAATGGGATTCTCAAAAAATTGTTTTTTTTTAATATGAATAGATTTATATTATTTTAGTTTAATTTTTTTTCATAAATTCATGGATTAACAATAATAGGATTAAGTTCAATATACAACTTTTGAAAATTTGTAAGATTAAATCATTCAAAAAAATGATGCATCTGATTGGAAATAATAATTTATATTTATAGATAGTTTAAGAGCATAAAATAAATTTCATAGTGATTAATTTAAAATTTAGGAATGGTGGGATTAACTTTAACCCTTAACTGATAGTATTAGAAGTAATGTGTCAAAAAATGCATTGATGTTGATAAAAGAAACAAGTATAACTAATTAAAATATAAAGTTTAACACAACAATGTTTTTGATGAAAAAATTTTGCAAAAATTATTTGAAAAATGTGAAAGTGATTTTAAGTTTTTAAAAAATGAAGCTTTGCAAACAATTGAAATTTTATCTCAAAAACCTTATTCTGATGATCTCATTAAGATCTTATGTAATATAACATTATCATAAAATTATGTAATATAATAGATTATCATTAGAAGTTGCAATCCCATTCCTATCCTACATTAGTGAAAATAGTATTAGCTTCAGATTTTAATTGTGATTGGGATAATATAATTAAGGCAACTTTAGCAGTTTACATAGGCAAAAGTGTTGAGTGTAAAAAAGCAAGTGATTAGTTATACTTGGCCATTTAAAAATAGAGACCAGAAGTATTAGAAAAGGAAGAATAACTAAAAGTTATCGGAGAGAGAACCAAATAAAAAGGGCCTTAAAAAGGGTTCAAGGAATTTTTATAATAATAGAAGAAATGATTCTGAATTTATTTATATATATGTATAAAAATTGCAAAACTAATATTCCAATTTATACATCAATAAATCAATTATTAATTAATAAAAGGCTTTTATGTTCTTTTAAATAATGATATTTCTCTGGCAACATATGATTTAATAATATTAACAACTATGTAAAAATATTGTTATTAAATACTTAATAATAAACTTTAAGAATGTATTCTTACTGATCTTATATCTTTCATTAAATGTTTTTTTGTACTTTTGTTTTTAGAATAATTACAAAAACTTTTAAACTTTATTTTATTTCAGTATATAATCCATAATTTACATGGTGATGTAATTTGTATCAATATTCAATCTAGGCAATTTAAGAGATAGGTTAATCAGTAATTGAGAAACTGAATTAGAGTTGAGGATCATTATGCAGATTAAAATCTTAAATTTAAAAAAATTTGATATCCATATTAAATGAATTTTAATAGTATTATTGTATAGAAATACTATAATACTATTGACATCAAAATTACATTAAATAAAATAGGTAACATATTCTGAATATGAAGTATTATTTGTAAAAAAAGCATTTTTCTCCCAATAGATTATTTAATATTCCTAAATAATAATAACTATTCTTCTTAATTCATAATTTAACCCAAATAAATAAATGTAATTAGTTAACATGAGTTGATATATATTACATTTAAAATAGCATATCAAAATATGTATATAAAATATTTTCAATATAAATTTAATAAATAAATCAGAACTTATTTGCAAATGGCTTAAATAACTCAAAAAAAAAATAATTCTAACTAGATTAATTCTAATCTTCAATTCTCTTTGAATTAAAAATAAGCTGGTAACTCATCACAAAATATTGATAGTGATGTAATATCAAGTAAAAAGAAGGTAAAATATAAAACTGAAAATTAGCAAGTTTATGATAGATTGATGAGTTCTTAAACTAATAGAGACAATCAAACTGAAGTATCCCAATATTTTGATCATTTAGGAGGTAAGTTTGAATAATTATAAAATAAAAAGGCAAATGCTTATGTGCATTATGTAACTGTGGCAAACATAAATGTAATAGTAAAAATTGTATACACAAACCCTAATTACATGGAAATTACACTATTTATTAAAAGGAATATCAAAAAAAGACACCAGAAATAGGATCTCGTTATAATTAGAATGTATTTACTTAACCAAAAGCTGAAGGTGATCTTGAAAATGTGACAACCTACAAAGTATTAATTAACATTCTATTATAATAGCATGATTTTCCTGGATATGATAGTAAAGCAGAACTACACAAGAATTCATAGAAACCTACAGTAAGTGGAGTCCCTTTCTCTGGATTGTCAACCTATAACAATATGTATTTAAATTGGGGAATGGGTGATACACCTTAACTATTACCTTAAAATAATCCTACAGTTATTAAAGAAATGCCATTTA